AGTAATAATTTTGACAATAAATGCCACTCACTGCCTTTGCCTGCCTGCCGCTGTCGATCCAATTAAAATCGAATCTTAACCAAAGTTAACCAAAATGCCCGTCGGGTGCGCCTCCATGGCGGGCGGTGGCCATTAACTATGCAAATAATGTGGCGGATATAGACAAAATCGCGCCGAAGATTAATGTTTATTGATTTTCCGGCCAGTGATAATTTGTTACCCAACCAAATTGCCTGCCTGCCCGCCACCCAGGACCAGGACCAGGACTAAGACCTGGACCAAGACCAATACCAGAGGACCACCCCCCCATGAAATAACGACAAAACGAATGCCATTTTTCTGGCTTACTTTTCTATTTGTGTGTAAAGCCATTCTAAGAATTTGATAAGCCTCCCCACCACCACCGCACTTTTGGAATTTCCATCCCATTCTCGGCTCGGTCTGATGGAAGACAAAAGTTTTTGTGGGTATTTGCATTATTAAGTACTGCCCCCCAGCCGTCAGATTGGGGCTGATGCTTACCGTCGGTCATCCATTGAGCCGAAGGTGTCACATTGCCGAGAATTTGCTTATCAGACATCAAAGAACACCTTGTGGTGTTCGCCCCCTTTCCTTCCAGGATCGTTGCCATTGCAACCCCGAGAATGGGTGGGATGGATGGATGGATGTGATGTGGGAAAGGGTCCCAAGGAAAACACAGTCCCTGGGTATTTTTGGGTTCCAGATTGGTTGCCAAGTTTCACGTTTACTCAAATAAAAACGTTTTGTTTGTCTGGTTTCTTCTGCTGCTTTGCATTTCGGAATATTAATTAAAACAAACTTTTCATGGAATGTCGGTACTTGCTCGTACTATCAGAAAAAAATATATAAAATAAAACAAAAAACAAAAGCTGAGCAGCGGTTGGGGCTGCCTGCTTTGGCAGCATATTTGTACGAGCATGTGCAAAATGTGCGTTGGAATGTAAATCACTTGAGCGAAACATTTACATGCATGTCTCTCTCTCTCTCTATATCTCTTTTTGTAATCAAAAATTCGTTAGATTTATCATCATCTTTTCGGATAAAGAAAGAATGATTAGTTTTTAAGTTTGAGTCCTTTTGGTTTTGCAATTTGGCTTTTCAAATGTGTAAATATTTGCATGCTGAAAATTCAAGCAATTCAAGCAAAATGATTGATTAAAATAGGAAAATTTTAAAAATAATTGAATCAAGTGAATCAGCATCGCTTTCTTGACATTCGTAGATGTGTAGAGGACATTTTTGTTCTATAAACGAATACACAGATTCCTCCTGTTATTCCACGAACTTTAGTGATTTCTGTCAACTCAGCGTTTTTTTGGTGAATATTTTCTTGTGTTTTGTTAAGCTGATTTATTATATTACTTTATAGCAATATCTTTATTCTTTATAAATCTATTTCAAGCCAAAACTTGTTAACTTTCTGTTGAAGATCTTTAGCCATTAGAAGGAGTAAAGATTAAATGATTCAAACTGACAAACTAAGGCCTTTTGGGATGGAAAACACATTGTTTAATATCTGTTATATCTACTAAAAAAATATCTCAGAGTTTTAATGTCTTGTATGTTTATCTATGTACGTAGTATATCCTTTTATTTAATTATGTCTGATATAAGAAACGATCTTTTATCAATTAACTTTCTTTAAAGAATCCTTAGAACAATCAAAAAAGGGTATCAGAAACAGAGACAATTCGCAGGCTGCCTTAATCAAATTTGGGGACATCAAGTGGGTGTTAATTTTCAATGAACCTTTCTGTTCCCCGAAAAACTGCAAAAGACGGGTCGAATGTACAATACAAAATTAAAGAAAGCTTAAAAGAAAATATTTTATTTTAAATATTGATGAATGAAAAGCGAAATCAAAGGAAGCGTTAAAGAAAAGGAAACGTATTAAGAAGGGTCTAAAACTCGGGTGTGATTCCTAGAAACACTTTTTGTTACAATTTGGGGGGATTCCCCTCGTTTTTAGGGGCTGTCTGGTGGACCCCGAGGGCGTATTACCTGGATTTTGTGTATCAAACTTCAAAGACCATTCCGGTGGCTACTTTAAGAGGGTGGCTTACAGCAGGGAATCGTCACAGCAGGAGGAGGAGGAGGTCTTAAGCGGATGCGGCCACTCAAATCACCGCCAAGTAAACAAATAAACCTTTGTCAACATTTTGCTTTTTGTTCTTGTTGTTCTTTCATTTCGCTGAAAATTAACTGGAAACGAAAACCGAGAACGTAATTGAAACTGAAACTAAATGGGTATTGAGCGACAATCCACAAAAACAGAAATGCAGAGATCCAGTGAATTATGGAAGCAGAGAGAACCAGGGGACAAATCGAAACACACAGACCCAGAGACCCCGCAAAGCAGACACCGAGAGACCAAATACCTGCACAGACTGGAGACCAGACCAAAGTCAACCTACTTTTTGGGACGCAACAGACGGCAACGGCAACAGCATAGTAGACCAGGCCAAAGCGCATACATGTGTAGGTATGTATATTCTGTGCTATGGGGGTTCCACAGATGGGGCTATGAAGGGGAAGGCAACTGGGCGCCCTGCGGCGGATTATTGAATTTTCCAACATTCTCCGCTGACACTTGGCGCCTAATGCGCTCCGCTTCACATAGCCCATACCTCCAAGCCAACCCAACCCATACCCATTTCCGGACCCATACCCTTTCCCGTAATCGCTTACCTGCTATGTACGGCAGTGGCTCTTCTCTGCCTTGTTGTTCCTTCTATCCTGCTTTTTGTTGCTCCTTCTATTATTCTCTGTTGCTGTTGCTATTTCACGTTATTGTTGCCTTCTTCTTGCTATTCTCTGTTGTTACTGCTGGCAATGATGTTCATGTGGCTGTTGATGTTCGGTGTGCGCGTTGACAAAAATTCCAATCGAATTTTACATAATTTACATATTTTTGAATTGCTTAGGCCAAGGGCCAAGAGGCGCCCAAGAGGTGGCCAAATGCATTAAACACAATTCCTTTTCCCCTACCGCACACACACATACATATGCATGGGACAGAACAGCAGCAGCAGCAGCAGGATTCCACCGATTCCACGAGGATGCTGGCTGGCTGGCTGCCTGGCTGCTTGCCTGCCTGGCAGACGAGAGATGTGTACCCGATATTCTCGTTTTTCTTTTTTCGTTTTTCCTTTTTTTTTGTGTCGTGTATGTGTGTGGTTTGTGTGTGTGTGCGACTCTTAGCGAGACCCAATTTTTGTGCCGTTAACCGAAAAATCAAAAGCAACACGCGTGTCTCTCCTGCTCCTGCTCTCTCTCTGCTCTCCACCCGCACGCGGTGTGTGTACCGCTTTATCCGGAGATTTGGCAAACCCACGCACTTGCAGCACGCGACACACGATATACCGGGAGGGGGTCACGGAGGGGAATGGACAGGATAACAGGAAAGGGAACTGCGAAGGGTGCCACGATAGGGACAACGAGGACTTCGACGAACAGCGGCACCGACACCGACACAGACACTGCAACACTGCGACACGGCGACAAAGATGAATGTCAATAAAAGTGATTTTGCTTTTGGCAGCCTACCGGACACTTCCCACTGCACTGATGCTGGAGGTGGTGTGGGCTTGGCCTGGACTTTTTCTCGTTCTCTGCCTGTTTTTGTGATGTCCTGTTACAGTGATTCAATTATAAATCGCAGACGATGGGCCACACAGACACAGAGCTCTCTAGCTATTCGAGCTATTCCACGGAGCAGACACTTTTGCACTCGCCACGCAACGAACCAGTACTGAAGTTAAGATACAGATATACCCGTATCGTATCCATCCGTATGCCCGTAGAAAATGACTGTGTGGCGCCGTGCCGTGCCGCGCCGCTCCGCTCCGCTCCGCGAGGTTGGAAATCAACATTCATCTCCCATCTCCAGCATGGCTGCTGTTCAGTCTCTCCTCTCTCTGCGTGCGCGATTTCCGATGCGCAGTTAACGGTACTCACGGATGCCAGTGCTGCCAAATGCCAAGCAGCTCCGCTCTTCCTCTCCCTGTCGCACACTCGCTCTCTTACTCGTTCTGGCTCTCTCTCTCTCTCTCTCTCTATGAGCGTGTATAGGTGTGGGTCCGTGTGTGTGTGTGTGCTCGTTGGAATGCTATAAAAAGGAAAACGTTAGAATGAAATGAAAATGTAGCATAATTTATGACTGCATCGTCTTTTAAATAATTGCACCCACACATACATACTGACAAACGTGGACCCATATACATATACGTTTACATAGATGCACACAGACATACATCTGAAATATTTACATCAACTCACCTGAACCACCCATCCCCCATTCCTGCTCCTGCCCCACGATACGCGCCTCTAATGGCCATGTAAATATTTCATTTTTTATTTTTATAAGGCCTTTTGAAACATTTCCCCAAATTGGTTAAAGGTCAATGGCATGTTCACAGTTTTAAAATTTCCCAGACGATGCCAAAGATTAGAAATAAGAGCTTCTGCGGGGCCGCATTTTTAGATACCCTTATAGATCGGTATGGGACATATGAAGGTTTAAATTTAATAGATCCTAGAACAAGGATTCCTCTCACAAAAGATCAGTTTTAAAACTGATTGATTACTATTATGATTTAGTAAATAAGATACAAATTTAATGAAGGTTTTTACAAACATTAAAATATAATAATCATAAACAAAAATATACCCACCAAGAATTATCTGATTTGAGCTTTACTTTTCATGGCTTCTTTGATGTATTGAAAGCCGACAATCTTGTCTAAACAAATAATAACAGAAAAACTGACTTCAAGCTGAGTTAAGAATCCGTTTAAAGCTACATACATACTTTATAGAGAAGCTCCATTTGTGTTCTAATCTCTTGAACGGTCTATTAATAGAAATACAATTTATTATGGATCTTGAAATTACTATCTAAACAACAGACATTCTAGATTAATTATACACGTACATAATCGTAGTTATCAAATATCTGTCTGGATTAAAGCCGAATAAAATTGATTCATGGGCCTCTAGAGAATGGATGTCGCGATTGTCGCTAATCTTATATATTCAGAATCATAGATCTGGCAGAATGGTAGATGTGAGCTCTTGTCATGAGAGTGAGAGACCGGATTTCTTTAGAGAGTATGAGGGCGTATGCTATAATTCTACATTGTTCAGATTGGAGCCAGAGGACGTGGGCAGATCGACATCGTTGGGTGGCACAAAGGTGCCCATGGTGAGGACGCTCTCCTGCTTGGCGGACAGCTTGAGCATCTCCATTTTGAGCTTCTCGAGAATGGCATAGTTTGGCTGATTCACGGCCGCCTTGCTCTGCAGCACGGTGATCTCCTGCTCCTCCAGCTTCTTCTCCTTGAACGTCTTGATCGAATTGTTGCCATACAAACGCAACAGCGAGCCCCACGTTTGGATGTGCGGGTGCAGTATCTGCAAGGATGGGAATGTCAGATGGGATCGTGGGATCATTAGTGAGAGCAGCGGCAGATACCAACCTGTAGGATGGCCTGCGAGGCCAGCTGCTTGCCCTCGCGCTTGTTCTTGCACACCACCTTGGCGGTGTGCTTGCCAACGGTCATGGTAAACTCATTCTTATTGTTGGCCGTTCGGTTTATCTCCTGGCTGATCTGCACATCGCTGCCATAGTTCCGCTGCAGGCATGTCAGCAGAATGGCATTGGGCGACGGCTCTGTCGTCTTGTTGCAGAATTCGGTGACTCGGGGATCCTCAATCCGAATGTCATCAAATACCTAAAAGAGTTTCATTCGTTATTTTCCATCTTTTTGATTGATTTTGTGGCACTCACTGATAGATCGCTTTGGCCCTTTTTGGCCGTGGCGCCCTTTGTGTCCTTGTTGCCTGTTATCTTGTCCTTGACATCGGGTATGAGAATCTCGAGGGTCTCTCGCGCCGCCTCTGACTTGGCCTGCTTCTTGCTGGTGCCATAGCCCGTGCCATACTTCAGATTGTTCACCGAAACGATCGCAGAATAGGGCGTCGCCGCATTCTGCAGCTCCTTGAACTCGTAGGTGGGCTGCGTCTTCAGGGCATGCTGCACATACTCGTGCAGGATGCAGACAAAGCTCTTGCCGTTCGGGTTCATGATCCACTCCTTGCGGGCACGCGGATTGGTGTTGCCCTCGCCGCTAGCCGCCAGAATGGGGAACTTGATGAGCTTTGTGCCATCGGGCAGGGTGGGTCTCTGGATATTCTTGATGTGCTTCCGATTCTTGGTGAACCTGCGGCGCGCATTCCAGCTGCGGAAGCGCAGAACACGGATCACCTTGAACTTGAACAGCTTCTGGCAGTAGGCATTTAGTTGGTCGGGCGTCACCGACTCCGTCTGTGTGTTCTCCTTGACGGTGACGATTTTCGCTGCTGGCATCAGAGCCGGCAGCGTCTCGGGCTGTGCCTCGGCCTTTACTGGGTCCGGTTGGGTCGAGGTCGCAGCTTCTGCGGTTTTCTCCTCACCCTCCACAGCCATGGGTTCCTCTGCAGCGGCCGTGCCAACAGCAGCCATGGGACAAACGACCTGCCGGCGGGGTCGTCTCTTTGCTCTGCTGCGTTACCTCAGCCTCCGCCTCCTCGTCCAAGGCCCGACGATAGTTCAGGCAGGGTATAGCGCCCAATGGCACGGCATGCTTGCGGGCACTGCCAGTGCCCAGGAAATACGGCCGAGAGGCGCAACAGACGCGCGTCTTGCGGTGCAGGAAGAGCGGAATTCCGCTGTTGTGCGTCACCTGTACCCAACCCTCGGGCAGTACCTCGAAGTGATTGTGACGCTTCTCTGCAATGAAATGAAGGATCACTCGATGCTCGAAGGACTCTGGGCGGAGTCCAGATGCTCACTCACCTTCCATTACGGTTTTGAAGCGCTGCTCGTATTTGGGTCGCTTGGACTCGCGTAGTTCGTCAGGAAGCTTCTCATCCAGGAGATTCTCTATTTCGTCGTCATCAAAGTCCGAGGAATCATATTCATCTCCCTCTCCCTCACCAGCATCTTCGTCATCGCCACCGTTTTCGCCCGCTAGCTTTTCGCTATTGTCGTCTGGCATTGAAAGGGAAGACAGAGATTATTTATATAAGCTGCATTTCGGGGGGAAGGAACGTGCTAAGCAGGGCCACCACAATAGGTTGGCTCATCCTCTGGGACACTCTCTCTGGGACTCTCTAATTTGCTGGCTGTACAAGCTGTACCTGTCTTTGGGGGCCACTCCAGCCGGACAATGGGTATCATGCGCATGGTGAGATCAGCCCAAGGAGACTGTCGGCGGAAGGCGATTGCACTTGCCAGGTACACCTCCGAATGAAATCTGAATCTCATTTTTCATTTCGTTTTTTGTTACAGTTTGCCTTTTTTATCAGCCTCCTGTATTTGCTCAATGATAAGCGGCTCGGAGCGGCTCCGGGGAAGATCGAGAGCGAGATAAGATCTGACGGCAGCTGAAGATTTTTAGAGCCGCATCGCCCCGCACTCACCTGACTCATCCTCATCGCTGGCGGTGCCGATCTCGTCGAGCACCTGGAACTGGCGCAGCTGCTGGTCCATGGACTCGCTCTGCAGTTCGGCGTCGCGCGTCTGTCGCATCTCTGTGATGGCGCTCAGCGAGAAGCCGGCAACCTTTAGCGCCTGCTCTTCGTCCTCCAGTCGGGCGCGCTTCCTGCCAGCAGGAGCCTGCAACTCCTGCGCCACGGCAACTGCATCCTGGGACATGCTTAAGCGCTAATCTATCTATGCAATTGTAACGTAACTCTTATAGCTGCCTGTGGGCTGGTCTTGCCAATAACCAATACTGAGAACGTCCAACGACTTGTAATTGATTTTTCATTGGAAGTGCCACATTGGTTAAGCCAGAGACCCCCAACTTGTATGTACACTTTTTTTCACGTTTATTGGAGCATGCAAAAAACCGGATAAATCAAATCTGTCTCCCCTTTCCCACCACAAGTTCTTGTGGGTTTTCTATTTTTCTGTTTTTGTGGAGTTTGTTGGTTGTTCGGGGCGCCCGTGGGAAGCGGCTTTTGCGATGCGATGGATTCTGTTGCACCACAGATCACCACAAACCACCAAAGCAAAACTATCCGCACGTGCCTCCAAAATGTTTATGAAACTACTTAAATTAGGGTAATTATTATTGTTTTTATGGCATAAAATAAGGACACCACACACACGAAATTAGAGTTTTTTTTTGGCTGAATATTATCGATATACAGATAATCGAGAATTGGCACAGGCACTTTTTGTAGTTTTACTGCCTTTTAAAAGCGACTTTTAATGAACAAATAATTCTATCACATAAATTTATCAATTATTTTACAAGATTAGCTATTTTGAAAGCAAAAGTTTAAACATTTTTCGAAATCAGTAAGACACGACAGCTGATTGCGTTTGACGCGCCTAATAGCACACTTATCGCTGTAAGCTAACATATGTAGTTATCTTAACAGTGTTGATAAACATGTGTTTAAACAGTTTTTTCAAATAGAAAAATATCGTATGTTTATTAAAAAGTGCGATACAAAAATAAATAAATTAATTATATGCTTTTGTTTTAATATATATATATTCTTTTTAATAATAGAACTGCATCTTTTCAACATTTACGATATGGTTCTATTAGAGTCCCCTCTTGGGTATTGGGGGCATTCAAAATATATAGAAATATAGGACTAGTTTTTGCTATTAATGGATAGAGGCCACATGCTCCGCCTGTATCGTGACCATTGCCTCGTAATCCCGCATGTCCAGCTCGTGCAGTGCCTTCTGCACCAAGGTGGCCAAGTGCGGTGGCAAATCCTTCAGATCCTCAATTCTTTCCCGGGCCACGGCACTGGATATGCGCGGCGTGCCATTGCTGCGGGTGCCAAATCCACAATTTCCCGAGTCTGTGGTGGCCGAAGATGATTTATGGAAGTCTTCCCGCTGCACATCGACCTCGTACACGGACGAGTCCACCGATTCGGTGGAGAGCGATGACATGCCATCGTCAGAGTGCAGCGCCTCGATCCTACTTGGTTTGTGCTTATGTTCCTCCGGCTCCTCCGGAGTCAGAGTGCCGCCAGCATTATCTGGAGCAGTGGACGGAATGCTGCTTATGTCTATGTCATCCACCATAGCGGCGCAATAGCCATTAAGCAGCAGCTGCGAAGGCGCATAGCCATAGTCCTCATCATCCTCATGATCCGGTGAGGCATCAGCACTATCCCCGGCCAGTAGCTGCTGCCAGCGTTGCTCCAAGTCTGTCATTTTACCAGCGAGTATTCTGTGGAGAGCGCTTGAATGGTATGGGCTGCTTGGGAAGCTATCTGAGGATCTCTTACTTGTTGGTCTTCTTCTGGTGCGTTAGAGCTAGGTTCTTGTCGTTCAGGTTATCAAGTAATGCCAAGCACAAGGATTTCAGGTCATGTATGGTCTCCGTTTTCTGTGGCAAATCAATGCCGCTCTCCAGAATTGTCTTAACTGAAAAGGAAAGGGGAATAAAGTCGAGGTAATAGGGTGTCCCACCCAGTGGCTTACCCTGCCTGGGGCTCAATATGGTTTCATCGTTTGTGCTGCTGCTGCCACCGCCAAGTTTGACAATTCCTTTTTTTCGTTTCGCATCCAACATGGTCTGGAGGGGGGCAATAAAAGAGAGATTGAATCGGAATCGGGCAGATTAGGTGATGTCTTCGCTACCTTATACTTGGAAATGCTCTGTTTGGTTAGATCCAGTTCGCCCTCCTGGATCTTGACTCGCTCATGCAGGTACTTGTTCTCCAGCAATACGCCATCGATGTCGAGCAGCTTGGGATGCGTTTTCTTAGCCCTCAGCGCCACAAATAGTTCGTGGTTCAGGCGATGCGCCTTGCACTTGTACGCGTCGCGCTCTGTGATCAGTTCCTCCTTCTCGTCAATAATCGACTTGAAATCGAACGCCAACTGCGCATTTCTCTTCTTCAGATTCTCCAGATGGCAAATGAAATTGGCCCGCTCCCGTCGCCATTGCAGCTCCTCCTTGTTGCGTGCCGCATTCTCGCTGGCCATGGCCTGCACCCGCGACTTGTTGCTGGCCTCCGTCTCACGCAGCAGCTCCATGTCGCCCTGCAGCTCGTTCAGCCGCTGCTTCAGCCCCTCCACTTCGGTGTTTAGCTTGAGATTCTGCTCGCGCGTCTCGTGTAGTAGGGCAGCAAGACTCGAATTCTGGCTGAGGGGTCCGCAGCCATTGCCTCCCACACTCACGAGTTCGCTATTGCGTTTCAGGGCAGAGTAGCGCAGCTGCAGGGTCTCTGCCATAAGCTTGTATTGATCCCGTTCCACGCGAAATTGCTCCAGCTCCTGCCGCAGTATTCTCAACGCCTCCACCTTGCTCTGCAGCTTGCGATGAACGGCGGAGGTCTGGAAAAACAAGTAACACCTTTCAATGGGTACATATGTGGGCAGGGGTCGCCTTACCTCAACGTTGTACGTGTCCATATGGTCGCCGTAGGACAGCTCGTATTGGCTGACACCGACAGCTCCACTCACGCTGGCCACATCCGCATCCAAGTCCAAGTCCATTTTGAATGTCTCCATAGGTTTTCCCAGTGGGTGTTGACATTGACAGAATAGATTTCGAGGCTGTCTGGAACTACACAGGTATCACAATATCTTTGCTTCGGAGGGCTCCATTCTGGGGGGCCACAACACAAAGAATGAAATGAATCAATTTTTACCTGCGCATGCGCTTGGAGCGCCAAAATGTATGCTACAACAGATGCTTTTTATCGATAACATGTGCAGCAATAATCGATCCGATATTTTTGTATTTTATTTATTTAAAAAACTCCTAGATATACGGATTTATGTGGCAAACGCTCGTCTGACAGACTTTCGAGAATGTGAGTCTATTGCATTTATTTTCCTGCTGCAACTTTTCACAGCGTGGCGGCTGCTGAAGAAGAATTTTCTTGCGTTGAATCAGAGCGTTCAGCACCAGACTGCACAGAATCTTCACATCCGACACTGTCTCCGTTCTCATATTCAAATTCTCAACGCTTTCCAGAATGTTTTCGACTGATGGGCAGAGGTCTTAAAAGTCATACACGTCATAGGAATGTAAACGTACCTCGTTCAATCAGCGTTTGATGGCGTTGCAGCTGCACATTCCGCGACTCCGTCGACGACGGCGCTGCAGTAACATCCCGACCTGCCCTCTGTCGATCATCCAAGTCCAGTTTGAGTGCTTCAACCAGCGCTGTTCTTTCCCTATGTAACTCAGGGGCACATCCGGCCGCCTTTACTTCTTTTGGTGGTAAGCAGCCCTCCGTCGTGGGCTTGCATTGTGACCAGCATATTTCTTGAATGCTGGCCGCCTTGCAAGCCACACGACGTGGACTCCTTTTTACTACGCGACTGCTGGAACGATGCGGGCGCAAACGCTCCAACTCCTGGCCGATAGAATTCAATCTTGTCCGCACGCCAAGGAGCTGCTTTGAAGATCTTTGCCCGCAGGAAACATTTTCTTTGAGGGCAGCCTTGACCGGTTTTGGTTTATGTTTGGCTTCGATCAGCGACTTGAGTGCTTTCTCGTTGGCCTTCAGCTGGGCCACTACATTTTGATTGGTCCTCACCAGCCTCTTGATATTGTGAATCTGTGCGGTTAGCTTGTTGCCGTAAATTTCGACCCTCTGCAGCATATTCTGCATGTTGTCCACCTGCCGTCCAAATTCCGTCTTCCCTTGTTCCGGTGCTGGGGTCTTCCTTGGCTTGTGTTCACTCATGACTTCGACTTCGACGTTGAGGGTGCTGGTCCGCTGGTCGAACTAAAATTTACGTGGAAATGTACCTTAATTTTGCAAATTTTTTTTTGTTTTGAGTTTTGGAACAAAGCCTATGACGGATTCCCCAAGCTTCGAGCTGAGTTTTCTATAAATTTCGGACTATATTGACGATACCGATGCACAAAATTAGTCAGTCTGGTGATAAAAAATTAACTTAATGCTAGGCAGTACCATGCACCATCCATCCTCATCCCCATAAGCTCATCGACAACTCATGGCATTGGCTATGGTTACCATTTTGCGCACCACATTCGAGTTGGTGCCGTAGTAAGGGTCAATATCCTGCTTGCCCATAGTCACATCACACTCCATGCGTGTGGTGGTGGGCGCTGTGTAATCCTCGCTGGCCGTGTCCATGGCAGAGGCGTGAAACTCCAGGCAACGACTGACTGTCAGGATCTCCTCTACATTGGCCACCTTTATGCCCGCGCCCGGCATTATGATGATGTCCCTGTGATGTTTGGCGATCAACTGAGCGAGACAATCGGCTCCCTCGGCTGCCGATGGCCGAAAGCCGCTGCTCAGGATGCGCTTAAAGCCCAGGTCCCGCAGCTGCTGCACATGCTCGTGCATGCGTTTCTGGTCGGTGAGATCGAAGGCCCGATGAAAGGTGACGGGCAGGCCACCAGATTGCTGCATCACCTGCCGGCACTTGTTGGCGTCGATGGTCCGATCTGTGTTGAGCGCGCCAAAGACAAAGCCGTCGGCGCCATGCTCCCGCAACAGCTCCATGTCCGTGAGAATGGCCTGCATCTCCTCCTCGTTGTACAGGAAGTCGGTGCCACGTCTGGGCCGCAGCATGCAGAAGATTGGCAGCGTAAACGAGTCCTTCAGCGTCTTCAGCGTGCCCACGGTGGGTGTGAGGCCGCCCTCGCCCAGCGCCGAGCACAGCTCAATGCGCGAGGCACCCCCAGCCTCGGCGGCAAATGCAGATGCAATCGAATCCACGCACACCTCCAGTTTTATGTCATGTCCTGACATTTTTGTTTTTTATAAACAAATATTGTTGTAGGGCGTGCAAGAGGTGGGCCACCAGCCGATAGCGATCAGCTGTTTGCGTGCGCACATCTCTAGGGGCACGAGTGCAATCGATATATCGCGTAGCCGATATGCCAGCTTCTCGAGTGCATTGTTGGCAACACTGTGCCCATTTTGTTGTGAACAATTTTTGTTAATTTTTTAATTTAATTTGTACAAGTCGTGCGAGTACAGAGTGCGTGTGCCGAGACAGCAAAACCCATTGACAAAAGTGCAGCATGCGCCAGTCGACATAGGAAGCAGCAACCAACGCAACGCAATACGTTGCAGCCAGATCGGACGTAGGCAAATAGACGAAGTACATAGAAAATGACCATGGGCGAGCGTGAGCCAACTTCGTCTCTCGTTCTGCCCGTTATACTGCGGCCTATTTTCTCACAGGTATTTAGCCAAGCCAAACCAAACAACGCCAGTTAATGGAAACTGGGGGGGGGGCGGATTGCCAGATTTACGGACATTGCGTAAACGTGTATTTAACTTATTTTGCAGCTGGAGCGACGCGATGTTGGCGCCGCTCAATCTCTGCGCTCGGCCATACTGAAATCGGAGCAGAACAATCCGGGGTTTTGCTACGACCTCGTTGCGACGATCGTGCGACGTGCTGATCTAAATGTCAACCTGAATGAGGCCGTCTTGCGATTGCAGGGCAACATTACAGAAGCAGACCGTAAGTTCCACAATGCCGAACAATGCACAGCAATGCACTTGCATACACATACCCATACCCATGCCCCGTGTGCATGTGTGTGCAATCACCTTTTGTGTACCGTTTGTTCTCACGTTTATATTTATCGCAGTTAATGAGTACCGCTTGACACGCACCGAGGAGCCCTTCCAGGAGCTGAACCGCAAGTCAGTGGCCCTCAAGGTGATCCTCAGTCGCATACCCGACGAGATTAACGATAGGAAGACCTTTCTGGAGACCATTAAGTGAGTATCTATCATGCTATCTATCTGTCGTCACACACTTTAATTGTGAATCACTTCTACGTTGCAGGGAAATCGCCAGCGCCATAAAGAAATTGCTCGATGTGGTCAACGAGATCGGCTCGTTCATACCGGGCGTTACGGGCAAGCAGGCTGTGGAGCAGCGTAAGAAGGAGTTTGTCAAATATTCCAAGAAGTTCAGCACAACGCTGAAGGAGTATTTCAAAGAAGGACAGTAAGTATTGCCCTTGCGCCGCCCAACTGCTGTGTGACAGAGTGTCTGTGTCTGTTTATCATTTATGTGGCCACCGTTTGATAGCCGGTTTCTTAAATCGGCTCATATCTGGTTTCTTATCGTTTCGGGCGAACCGTAAGAATGATGTCATGCCATTGGCATTCCGGGTATTATGTTTATCAGCTGCTGGAATGGAGTATGGGTGGAGTCTCCGCACCTGTGGGCCGTTTGCTTTAAATTACAAAACGAATTCAAATTGCTTCGATTAGGCACAAATGCTAACCAGACTTGAGATAATTGGGGGGCCGTCATTACTGGTGACCTACTCCTAGTGGTGACTGGGGCCAGAGAATCGATTCAGTATATTAAATAGTATGATGGATATGCCACGACTAATCAACCATCAATTTTTTCTTCTATTTTCAGACCGAATGCAGTATTCATAAGTGCACTTTTTCTAATACGGCAAACGAATCAAATAATGCTGACAGTTAAAAGCAAATGCGAGTAGAGAATTAAATGTTTTTTTTAATTACGGCAAACCTTAGTGGCATTTTAAATTTATGTTTAAATAACCATTTAAAACACACACAAACAAAACAAATCGAGAGAGAGAGAGAGAAAAGCGCATAGGAAATGCCAGCACACAAATACAAAACACTCCTTCGACCCAGAAAAACAGCCCGAAACAAAAACAGTCCGAGTTAAATGTTTAAACGACTTCGTTGTTGCAACTATCTAGTTAAGCCTAATGTACACCATATATATTTATGTATATGTATATGTAACCACTAATCGGAGACTAAAGCCTATGCTAAAAAATGGCCAAGGCCCCCAGCATTGATTGTAATTTATGATTGAGAAAGAGAAACTAATTGATGGAGACGACGACGATGAGGATGACGATGACTACGACGTGTGTGCATGTGTTTATTTTTCTCGTTTACAAGTTATTGTAAATAATTAATTCTTTTTGTGTTGACAAACAACAAAAACTACAGCCGTTCGTTTGTGTTGTGTTTAGGGGAAAGCGCCTACGAATAAATTTAAAATTAGTGAAATATGAGAAGACACAGGAAATGTATGAATAACCCTTGAATTTTTAACTGTTTTTAATTGTTAGAGTTTGAAATTGAACAACTATACATAATAATAATCATTTACTTAATGATATGTTTGATTTGAAAATGCGGTAGCGAAAGACAGTAGGTGGCCGTTAGGCCAACTATCAACAGGATTAACGACGAGAACGAAAATTATTTTATTTAAAAAAAATGTTATATGAAAAAGAATACAAAAAACAAAAAGAGAAGGAAATAAAACAAAAACTCATAATGTAGAAATAGCAAAACAAAAACGACAAATAAATGTATTTATATTCAAAGAGGAAACTTTTGTCTAACGTTACCACAGGTCAAAGATCCTTACCCGTACACAAAGGATGGTGCTGAAAAATAGATCATAGTTCATGGATGGTGCCATAAGTGGTACAGTATATGGATTGTCAACTGGAGCCTATATATATTCTAGAATGTATTTATTTAGCTACAATTTGCAACTTTGTTTGTTTGCTTCTTATAGTAAAATACATTATATTTTAAGTTTTCAATATTTGTGTTTTTTGTGGTATTATCCTCAGAATCAAATATTTGGATATAGGAATTATTCATTTTTTTCATCTCATCTCACCCAAAAAGGAGTACCACCTTCCTGCAGAAGGCAAGTTTTGTGTTGGATGTGACTGTTAGCGTTAACAGTGGAAGAGCGTTAACAGTTTCAACCCCAAAGGCGCCAACGCCAAATGCGGAGAAAATTGCCCATTTTTCAGTGTCATTTGACAGAAAAATCGATTCCTCGTGCTCCGTGCTTCCACTTCCACAGTCGGGCAGAAATCAGAGTACAAACCAGCCGAGCAGCGCGACCGAGATGACCCACTTTTCGGTTTTCGCACCAACAGAACCCAACTGCTATCCGAAAAAAGTGTGCTTCTAAATGGAATTAAATTAAATATTTTGTGAAAAGCAGTTGTGTTAACTAAACTCGCGCCTAATACATATGTAGCTTAGTTTCGATATTATGTACAACTCGTAGCCTAGTGTAAGCTCTATGCATTTATGTGAATTCGCCAGAGGAAACGTGGAAGAGGAAACTTGGCATAGGCGACCTGAAAAAGCACCAGCAGCGAGCAAGAAGAAGCACCAGAAGCAGCAAAAAAGGTTCGCATCCCGTACAAAATCCCGTTTCGTCCATCTCCAATCTCCAGTCCAGTGATAAATCCGATACGAAATCTGTAACATTTTTCCCCATACGAGTCACCGGACTAGGGACTACTGGACTCCCCAAACGGTGGGCACGGGAAGGAAAAAAAGTAAAAAAAAAAGTCATGAAGCGTGCTCACGGAAAATTTTGCTCTACACCAAATGTTTTTCCGCCTGCTGCTGCGTGAAAAATTTTCGTTTGCTCCATAAAAACGCAAAAAAAAAAAAATATTTCGTGAGTGACAAAGAAGTTTTTCCTCGAAATAAAAACGAAAAGTGACAAAAGTGCAATACAAAATTCGCAGAATGAAAAGGGGGCCGCAGTGAAAAGTAAAAGTGTAAGAGCATATCGAAGAGGCGAAAAAGCAACCCATCAAACATACTTACACGCGGTACACATGTATGTATGTACATGTGTATGTACACGTACGGGTATGCAGATATGCAAATGAGAGTAATCGAAACGTTGAATGAAAATGAAAACTGGCATAAAAAAATGCTGAATTACTGTAAAGTGCATAAGCGAAGGCACTCTAATTGGTTAACAAATCAAATCAACTGCATTTGGGCGCGAATACAAACACATTCACACCCATTACACTACACTCGCCTCGCACCTAAAGCAGTTTAGAGCGAGAGGTAAGTAGGTAAAATAGTATGTAAATGGGCCCCTGAAACTGAAACTGGAGCATAGGGAGGAGGTAAAACAGGGCAGGGAAATGGCAAAAGAAAGGGCTGCAGTGGCACAGCAGCAGGACGTAGAGGGAGGGGGCTGCAGCGGTAGCACGAAGAGCAGCAGAAGAAGCAGTGGTGGTACCGTTTAGCATTAGCGCGTGTGTAGGTGTAAACATTTTACATACATACATATGTACAAATTCATACTACTATAACAGTAACAGCTCCAACAACAGCTCTGCTCTCTAGCTCCCAACTCTCCCTCTCTCACTCTCTCACTCTCTCGCGCTATTCAATGAAATTTATTTTTTATTGAAATCCTTTGACGTTTAATTTTGCCCACGTTTTTTGTTATTTCACACGCATTTTGTTTGTATTTATGAGGCCGCTTTTCTCTGCGCTGCTCTGCTCTGCTCCTTCTGCAACGATCGGAAGTCACGCGCTGCAAGACAAGAATAACCAAATCAATCGATAGGTGTTTCATTATAGAGTTTGAGTGAGGGTCCTTGTTAAATGATTGAAAGCCTCTGCTTTATCCATGTGAATGCCCAGAGCAAATAGCTTAGGCATATCCATATCATATCAATTTACTATTATTAGAACCAATATTTAGTATAATTTCTTTCAATTTCCTGATTTAGTTTTTAATCAAATGTTTTCGAATTAATGTTGCTGATCAGCAGATCCGAGTCCCTTCCTAGACTGGCTCTGATATTGTGCCATCTAAAAGAAACCAATTTAGTTTAGCCAACATTAAATAATTCATTCGCTGTTCGGCTTCGACGACCCTGGTTGAGTGGCCGCATAAGATTTCCGCCGGCTCTAAGCCCACTGATTTTTTTCCACCATTCCCCGCTAGCTGCGCTATGAATGACTCGCAAGACAAAATTTCTACGACTACGTAAATATGTACACATGTATGTAAATGGGTGTATGAGTGTGTACATAGTTTGTTATAAATAGACAGGATAGTTTTTTGCGCTCGTGCTCTTGTTCCGTTTCCGCTGCTCTCCGGCCGCTGGGTACCGCTTTTCCTTGGCTCTGTGATTGAGGTCAAACCATCAGAAGGATAATGAACTTTTCCCACATCTCAAATGTAATTGCTTGACTTTAAAAAGTTTCCGTTCATATTTTTTTGTCTTTTTTTTCTTATTTTTAAAAGTTTCACTTTGAGGACTTTGAAGGTTCTCTTCAACTTCCACGGCTATATTTATGCATGTAATAGTGCTGGTAATAGTTTTGTAATTGCTGGAATTAAAGTACCTCTAAGTACCTCGTTAAGTGTTTTCCAAGACTCGAAGCACTTAATTAATTGAGCACGCTTCAGACACAGAGAAAATTGTTTGAAAAAAAAACAATCTACAAACGTAATTTCGGGAAATGTTCAATAAGTACAAATTATCTGCCAAATGGCTGCTGTGAAATTCATATAAAAATGTTGTGAAGGCAAGGTAACCGATGCCAGCTGCAAGTTAATTGCATTTCTTGGGAAACTTGTCTGTCAACACATAGCCGAAAGTAAAGGAACTGCCACTTGCCAGCAACTGAAAGTTTGGGGCGCCAGAAAAAAACGTAAAAACAAAGTGGCTAGAACGCCCCATACGCCGGGTAGACTATAGAAGTACCCGCTACTTAGCTGTAGCCAAAGGCTTTTATTTTCAAAATTGTTCAAGAATCCAAGATTAAAATCCTATGGATACCACAGTAGCGGTCCTGGTCCTGTGAAAACTTTGAAACAAATCTTAAAATTTTTTTGACCGAATCTCTAATGCTCTTCGAGTTTCAGCTGTTGGTCATACGGATCAGAAATATACATATGCACATGGGTATATGAATTATTAATGGGTTCGGAAACTCTCTATTTTTCATACCTGTTATATAAATCTGTCCAAGTACCAATATACCCCTGTGCACTATCAGTACCGCGCAGAAAAACGAAAGGAAACTTTTTAAATTAGTTTGCAGTAGTTTGTGGCCAACAAAAGTTGGCAGGACCTGTTCCGCTCGCTCGCTCACTCGCTCACTCGCTCCCTTTCTCTTTCTACATTAAAATTTATCAAATATTGTTTTTAATTACGAGTATTTACACCATTTTTTTGCTGCTCTGACAAATGCATATATGTATAGTAGAAAGGCGCATTCGCAGCACTGCAGCGCGCTCTGTGCGGAAATGAAGATATTGGAGGTATCCTCCGACTGCAAAAAATGAATGAGAATTTTCCATTTCATTTACCGCTTTCCACACAACAGCGGCCAAAATGTGGGTTAATAGAGTGTAAAGCTGCGCCAGGCCATGCCGCAACCTAGTTTCGGTTTCGGTTTCGTTTTCAGGGGGTGTTGGGGCTGGGCCCCGGAGAGGCTAATCTGCACTTTAAGAACTCATTAAAATTTCAAGCTAGTGGCCGACATTGATGGCCCGCCCTACCATGCGGAAGCGGGGCTCTCTATCCAACTGTCTGTCTCGGTGCCTGCGGTATCTTCAGCTGTTGGCTAAATGTTTAATTGTTTGTTAGCCAGGAGGCTTCAATTCCATGATGGAGGCTGGCAAACAAGTCGCTTCGCTTATTGCGTAGGCTACACTACACTCAAAGAAAATATGATATCATTAATATTATCTATATATTTCCATTGAAATTTGGCAATGGATTTGTTGAAAAATGTCTGAAGAAGCTGCAAATGTTGACATGTTAGCATCGATTATTTATTATCATCAAATTACATCTATTTCTTCCTGTGTAGCTTCTGTAAGTGTGTGTGTGTGTGTTTGTGTATGTGTGAGCGTGTGTTGGTGTGTGCTTGTACTCTAGGGAGATAAATGGTGCCAAGCACTGCTGCTTCACTGCTAGAGCAAAGACCGTACCATACCATACCATACCATACCATACCATCGCCCTCCACTCCCTACCCGGGAAAGTGTGAGGCGCTTAAAATAGTCACCGACAGGCACGGCACAAAACAGATACTAGGGTGATGGGGGATGGGGGCTGGAGCTGAGGCCTGGTTGCTCTTCCTGTTTTTCTTGGGTTTAAAGGCAAACAAGGAAATGACAGCGGCCCGATAGAAATCTGAGGCTGAGGCTGCTGGACAAAATAAAGACCAATAAAAATAAAGAACAAGCCGGATAATACGCATACTCCCACATTTTCAACAAAAGGCCTTTACGCCCACACATCAACAGCCATTGTGAAATGCTTGGCAATGTCTTTCAACATAATTAAGGCAGAAGCAGAAGACCGGTTTCGGATATACTCTATATAGCCATGAGGAATGATCTTTCCTTGAAGAGATAAACAGAGATTACTTTAGAAATATAAATAAGTCTATAAAAAAGGGACATGGCTATAGTACATGGCACGAAACGGCTCTGTTGAAAGTAATACCCTATTAAAGGGTATTCTAGCATAAAATCGCGTCGAACAGCAGCACTTTACATTCTGTTCATTTGGAAGACTTTACATGCTGTAAATGTGACGCTGTTAAGCGATAACAGTCCCGTGCACATGCGCAGTTGCGCGCTCTCCGAAGGGACATTTACTCACGCACTCTCTCTCCTTTGAGCCATATAACCGACCCTCTCACACAACTCCAGACAGTTGTCCCTGTCGTCCATTCGAGCAGCGTGCGCTTAACAGCAGCGGGCGCAGTAACAGAGCAAGTAACAGCAACAAAAAGAAAGCCATCCCCATGCATAACAGCAACTAGTGGCCGGCCGTGCGAATGTGGAACCTGCTTGGGCATTTCCTTCCGAGTCGGGCTACGCTGAGGTCGAAGTGAAGTGGGTATTTTTATTTGGTGCATGTGTAATATGCAGAGGGAAATGTCAGCAGAGATTGCGGAGGAGGCAGCAGCAACAGCAGCAGAAGGCAATTAGTGAGTGACATTGATTGCTGGCTGATTTGCCAGTTAATGAGTTGATGACAGTGATTGTGATTACGAATGGGGCAGCAAGACACATTGCAAGTATTACATGTGCCAACTAGAAGCCGAAGGGTGCCGTGTCGCTGCATTGGACAGGACAGGTGGTTCAGGTGCTGGTTTCATTTGATGTTCGCACCGGAAGGGGCGTAAGTATTGCAAAATCGTAGAAGGCTACCCCGGTAAACATCGGCTGGATGCTGTCATGCACGCCCACCGTGCAACAGGGCGGGGCAGCAACAGCACACACACGCAGGAGATGGTGGCATCAGGCATCAGCCAGCAGAGGATAAACGTTGTCATAGCTTTTAAATGTCACACCGCCCCAACTATCGCTACCCATAAACACGGCCATTGACAGCCAGCACCCCCTCTGAACCAAAGTGTATCTCTGTATCTCTGTATCTGCGTATCTGCGTAGGTGCATGTGGGTGGGTGCGGATGTGGGCGTGCACACGAGTGGATGCATCTGAGCTCCGCCCTGATATATTAATAACTCTTTATCCGTGCAGCATAGAGCGGCCCCTCATACACCTACTCCTCCGCATGTGGCCGTAGTCTAAATGATTGGATTAAGGTTTCCATTACGGAATAAGTTACTGCACTTTTCGTTGACTAAAAGTCCGCAGAGCAGAGCTTTCATCTGCCCAATCGAATTAATACTTTACTTTCGGTTTTTCGCATCCTGCCTGCAACATCTTCCACTTAAAGACTCCCAGGACAATGCCACTTATAAAATTGCCCTCGTCGGCGGTTACGCGGCGAACCTTTCATTTTTTCCCATTAAACAAACATCTCTCCTCTACACTTTCACATCCTTCCTATTCTTATGGTCTTGCCGCCGTCTAGACCAACTGGCGCCCAGGTCTTTCCTCGTTTAACATTGCCACTACACTGCAAACAAATGAAGGATATTCCATGAGGAAGAAATCAAAACTCAATCTTACAATATCGCGCTTGACAAATTATTTTATTTATTATCCAAGGAATAATAGGGATTTTTATAATATTTGCCATTCGACCTGTGGATATCAAAATTTAATTGTGCTTTTTTTCTGAGTGTATGTCCTGGCGTATGAGTAATGGAATTGATTCTCAATGTCTTGTTTGACTCATCCTGGGACTGTCTGAGGGTGTTAGATGTGGGGTTTATATGGGATAGAACGGAAACCCCCTGAAATCTGCACAGAAAACGAACCAAACATATAATGAAGCCTTTATATTCAACATTCGATGAAGCATTCTTAATTGAAACTTCTGTAATGGTGTCCAGCGCCTCTGAGAGATTCCACAGCTGCCTGTGACGGGAGGCGGGGGCGGAGGAGAGGATGGATATCCAAATGAGCAAATCTCAACAAGTCTGTGGAGGGCTGACTGGGAGAACGCCCCCGAGCCTGTGCGTGGCTATAATACACAATAAATCCGGTCAGCTAGGCAATTAACCTTAAGGTCAAAGTTCACACGCCTAGCACTGACCCACACACACACACACACACACACACACGTGCGTGGCGCCTATTGACAGCCGCCAAGCAGCTGACCTATTTCCACCACACCCACACGACCAAGACGTGCCCATAAATAAGTAAAATATTCCATGCAATGGATAATAAACACAACACCAACAAAATACTATTTATAAGAACTAAATGGAGTCAAGTCCCCAGTCGGTGGATGCCCGACTGGCTGTTATTTATGGATAATTGGGAGACAAAGAGAGAGCCTAATCCTCCCATGGTTTCCTTTTTGCATTGCAGTCGTCATAGGGGCAGCCACAGCATGCCGTACGAGTCGATGCACCACCATCAGTCGGCGGCCGCTGCCGTGGCCGCTGGCACCGCTCCCAACGGAATGCTGGACTCCCTCAGCCTGCAGCTGCGGGACTCGGAAATGCGACGCACAGAGATCGAACGGGCGCATCAGGTAGGGCGTCTTCTCATTATGCAGACCCATAAACGATCCTTGTATTAACACTCGTATATTCTGCAGGAAACATTGGCACAAATTCGCAATCTAAGCGGAAACGCTCGTCCCGATGCCGAGGCGGTGGAGAACCTGCAGTCGAGAGCCCGTGAACTGGAAAAGAAGGCAAGTGCCAGGCTGGCTTATGGATCTCCCATATAACCGATTAACTAATGTGATCTTTAGGTTTCGCTGGAAAACGTGCGCTGCGAGGAGCTGCAGATCGAGCTGACGACCGCCTTGAAGGCCAAGGCAGCGCGCTCGGGCCAATCCTCCCACATGGGCAGCGGCGCTACGGGGTCCGGGACGGCCATTCCAACATCGGCCAGCAGTTCCACCGTCACATGGGCACCGACAATCATGCACCAGGACCAAGGCTCGGAGATTGATATCATAATGGCAAAGATTGAGCAGGTAATGGGCAGCCGGAAGGAGGAAATAGATCTCGGCTTGGGCCCCTTCCATTACGCCTACTGAAAGGGAACCCCAGCCTCAGATGCTCATTTTATTCAACGCAAACGACAATGCAATTCTTTAACATTTGTGAGTGGGCTGCGTCTGGCAGGTAGGGTTCAGTGTAGATGATTTATTCCAGTTCGCTGCTGGAACTCGTAGAGTCCGACTCGTCGGTGACCTTGCTTAGGGCCTGTGATATGAAGCGATTGACCTCCACCTGACTGATCACCGAGGAGGAGCTGCTTGAGGAGGAATTGCTCTCGTCGCTGCCATTGGACAGACACGACAAGAAGCTGTCTATGCTGGTATCATCCGGTGTCCTGTCGGTCTGATCGAACTGCGTGGCACTCTCGTTGGTCTCGTTGGGTCCCTGGCTGAATACTGAGCCGGATTGGCTGACCTGCAGCTGGCGGCGCATCATCTCGTTCTCGCCACAGAGACGGCGAATCAGCTCCTGGTTCTCCTCGCCCTCCAGGTCCCTCATATGGGCAAGGGCCTTGATCACATCGAACATGCTCTCGATGCGCTCTCCCTGCCCGTTGACAATCAGCTTGAGACCCGCCATGTACTTCTCACGAATGTTGTAGCTCTCCAACAGCATGTCGCCCTGGCAGTGCTCCTTGTACTTGTCGACGATCATCTGAATGCTGTCATGGTACTCCTCCACAGTGGCCTTCAGGTCCAGGTTCTCGCGCAGCACCAGCGCCGTCGTCTCGTCCTTGCTGTGCTCAGCCAGATGCTTGATGAGCTGCTCGTTCCGGTACTTGAACGAGTGTACAATTTCGGAATCGAGTATGTGGGCATCCTGCAACAGCGCATCGATCTGGACGATCAGTTCGCCAAAGCTGTCGACCAGATCGCTGGCATCTTCAATGAGGCTACTCATAGCCGCAGAATCCACGGCGTAGTTCATTGCGACGTGGATATCCAGTTTGATTTATTGCTAACGTTGAATTTGGAATTCTTGTACTCTGCTACTTCTTTGATTTCTTTACTAGTTTTGTATACTGTTCCGCCAGGCGTTCCTAGGGCTATAATGTAAGGGACTACTTTGATCCGACGAATTGGGGGGAGTCACTTAGAAAAGGAAAGGAAAGTGGAAGGGGAAAGACCTACTTAGATTTCGTCTTCGGCTCACCTCACGGCAGCGATGTACCTACCTACCTACCAATAGTGCCATCTCTAGCTTTGAGCATAAGCCACTCTCTGAGAGCACACGGCTCTCTTCTCGCATACGCTGCCGCTGCCTGCGAACTGCGCAATTAGTTTTAGAAGCTAATATAAAATGTCGTCTGCTATCTGTGACTCGTGCCCTTTATCTTGCATTTGTTCATTTAAAACTAATTACTATCTTTTTTTCTTTGTTGGATTCAGGATAATCGCGTGCTGGCCGAGCTGGAACAGCCTCGCACCTCGGCCAGCGCCAGCGCCAGCATGTCAGCATTGCCGCCCAGTTCCATGTTGAGCACGGTAAATAGCGAATTTAGAACCATATCAAAGAGTGGTAAGTGTCCAATGCCTTGAATCTTCCATCTGCTCTGCTTTAAATACGTAACCAAATTAAATCAAAAATTCGTATTGCAGAACTCGAAGAAGAACTGAATCGTTATAAAAGGGCCGTACTAGGCGGCACCTCGAGCGGCTGCGTCTCGGCTTTATCCTCCGGCTATTCGAGTCTGCCCCACTCCCTGGCCTCCACGCTGCCCAATGGTGCCAGCACCAGTTTAAGCGGCGCCAGCATTGGCTCGCAGAGCATGGCCGCCGCCATCGGTGCTGGGGCTGGGTGCAGTGGCCTCCAATCCATATCGGCCCTGGTGCCCAACTCAATCAGCGGCATATCCACGAGTCTAAGCAGCCATGCCATACAATCACTGAATGCGGCCGCCTATGGCGGTGTCGGACAGAGCTCCGTGGAGAAGCTGTTGAGCGGTACTAGTGGCATCACTGGCATCCCACCATTGCCGGTAAATATTCACACGATGAAGGCTATGCCATCGGCATTAAGTCAGGTAAACCAACTATTTTCAATCGCAATGCATCCAACTACAACAACAACAACCAAGTACAAACAGCTGCAATTTGCAATATCCAATAATTTCGTATTTGTAATCGCGTAATCCTCCCGAACCGATCGATAATGCTTTGAAGCTTTTTTGGGCATCGCCACGGCATTAGGTTCATGTTTTGGCTTGCAATAATAACTTGAGCATCACTGTATCATACATACATATATTATGATAACTACATATTTAATTCTTTGTACCCATAGCGATTATCATAACTACTTATGTAACTGCTTTCATTCGTTCGTTTTTTGATCCGTTGATCGTTCATCGTCGATGAGGCTGCAGCTTTTGATCGACAATAAGAAATGGCGTCTGTGTTGTCTCAGTGTAAATCTCACAAATTGAGTTTTGTTGTAGTTGCATTAGTGATGAAAATATACATTCACACACACACACACAAACACACACACATACATCACTCGGAAGTTCGACATATACAGCCACAAAATCTACACACACACACATATTGTACATAAATATATTCAATTCCAATTATTGATTGATTTTCTTAAACTCCATTTAGTCATTAGCACTTGTTGAGCTCTTGGAACCATTCAAGCTTTTGCTGGCATGCTAGAAAATGCATCTCATTCGCGCACACTCATTCAAACATTATTGGAAACTGTCTTAAAAGTATATACATATAAAGTTTTTCAGGAAAGTGTTTTAAAAGATATGATTTGATTCCTCAAATAATCATCAAGCCTATTGCTTAAAGCACTTTCCTGACAATCTGCCATACAGACTCGTGCATTCATTTCACATTTCCAACTTTTCTTCATTTAATTATACATTAATCGATACTTACATATGTACATACATACATACATACATATATCTGTACATACCATACCAAAAACCTTACTATGAACCATAATATAAATAAGAATTTCATTTGAAAGCTTCCCGTTCGTTGTTGATTAAAGTTTTTTGATGATGATGATGATGTTGATGATGATGATGATGCTGATGATGATGATGACGATGCTTACCCGTGCATATACAATACTATAGAATGCTTGGAAACGGCTTCAGTTCATAGCAGAAACAACTACTCTCGTACTACTCGTTAACCCATTCATGACCCACATCAGATTAGATCAGTGTATTACCCATAACCATACCCATTACCTATTACCCATTACCCATACCGAAACCCATCGTTTTTATGATGTTTCTTCTAGAAATTGCGTTTGCCTCTACAGCCGAATAAACGTGAATCTCTCTGTGATCTCTCTATTCCCCATTTTATGTGCTCTCTCTCTCTCTCTCTCTCTTGTTTCTTGTCTTCCCTCTGCTCTCTTTCTCGCACTCACTCCACGGCGTGTTCTTCCACTCCACTCCACGTGTGTTATATACCCGCGTACTTTGACTCTGCTCTGCGGTTCGTTCGATCGCAAATTGCACACCGTCTAACGCCAATCAATTCGTTCTGCAATCAATCAACATATGTATATGTATGTCTGCATCTGTATCTATGTATATCTTTCTCTCTCTCTTTTTCTGTCTATGTGTGTGTGTGCGTGTACATACAAACAAACCCGTGTCGTGTCTGTATATCCTTTATAATGCCTTAAACCTGTACAAATAACCCAACAAAACTAACAACAAAAAACCGAACAACAAAACACACAAAAACCAAAACCAAAACTAACAAAAATCGCATTGTAAATTCGAAAAAAAAAAAAAAAACAACAAACAACAACAAAACACCCACCCACCGACCCACCGAATAACCAAAATTCTAAAATTGAACAAACACACACCTGCAATCGACACACTGAATTTGAATATTGAAACCAAAAACTGAATCTGAAACTGAATCGAGTAGCGCGGAACAATACAACTGTACAATTTACAGAGCACAACCATGCCCCTCCTGTCACTCAACTCGCATAACCTGCCGCCCGTTGGATCGAGCAGCTACTCAGGCCTGGGGCTGGGCGGCGGCGGCAGTGGTGCCGCCGGCTCCTCGCTGACGCATCCCACCATGGGCAACCTCAGCATGCTCGATACCAGCGCCCTATTGGGCGCAGCCGGCCTGGGCGGCCTGGGCGCCGGCCCAAGTGGCAGTGGCATCTCGGGCGCCACATCGCTGTATGGCCTGAGTGCCGGTGCCGCCGGGGGATTGGGCAGCTCGTACGGTCCACCGTTTCTAGATGTGGCCTCGAGTTCCTCGTATCCGTTCACATCGGCCGCCCTGCGCCAGGCCTCCAAGATGAAGATGCTGGACGAGATCGATATACCACTGACTCGGTATGGCAACCGGAGCTCACCCTGCTCCCCAATACCGCCCAGCAATTGGGGTCTGGACGAATTCGCAGATGGCCTGAGCCTCTGCATGATGCACAATCGCGGCGGCCTGGCGCTGGGTGCCCTGGATCTGGACAGTAAGTAGTTCTATGGGGACCCCATGGGATTATATCTGATATGATAATAATCGTTATATATACATAGCACGCAATCATGGCTTGAATGGAGCCAGCGAACCGCAAGTGGATATGCTGGACATTCCTGGAAAGGGCCGCTGCTGCGTGTTCATAGCCCGTTTTCCGTACGATCCACCCGAGTAAGTCCTACAAAAATATACATACACTGATAGAAAAAAGGCATATTTGAATTAAATATATGATTTTTAAATGCAAGCATAGTAAAATTAAATAAAATTCCCTTTGACTCAAAAATAAAGGTATTAAAACGGTTTTTTTAATACGGTCATTTTTAGTCTAAAATCCAAAACACTTTAAAATAACTATAATATATAAAATTTTATAGTTTCATAATTTATATTAAATATTATTATTACCTAATTTGAAAATATTAATTTTGAAATCAAAGGGAAAAACTGTTTATTTTAAATAGTTTTGTATCTGTTTTTACTATATGTTTATATATACTTTTGATATCCCTCGAATTACTGGCTTAAGCTGATGCCGCCCTGAATACAAATCTCAGGGGCAGTTAAATTATCTTTGCGCATGAGGCAATATCACAACCAATACAGTTCTACTCAGGTGGCGATTATTTCTAATTGAAAACTTTAACCAATTCACGCCATGAGGACATGAAATGTCGTCCGCTACGGCAAAATAATAACTTAATAATTTTAATATGAAATATTTTTAAATTAAATATGAAACATAAATTTAAATATGAGACATATTCAATTTAAAACAAATATTTTCATAGTAATATAATTAAAGTGAAAAATGTTCAATTGTAATTCAACCACTCTTGAAAACTAATGGCATAAATATTTAATTCTAAGTGAAAATATTAAAAAATCAGGACTGCTTTCTATGGTTGTAAATTATATATACCTTATACATCCTTTAAACATCAAGGCTAAGGGAACCCCTTGCTCAAGGCTAGACACATTTATTGATATTAAAACACTTTTTGGAGGTCTAATTTGTGGGGAATAAGCATTAGAAACGCCGAACATTTTTTTAAACGATTCCATATCGCATTGTGTCGCGTTTTGGGGCATGCCGATCAGTTGATCATGGAACCGTTTCATCAATGGAACCAGATTAAAGGTCCGTGTTCCAACTTCCTTGACACAATTGACGCCACCAATAGCGGCTCATTTAGGACCATGTTCGCACAGGCGCTAACAATGGGAGAGGCTATGGCGATAAGGAGTCCAGGACTTGCATCGCCATTGCCGCATATCCTTTGGTACACGCGAACAACTGAAGGGTCAATGTTGGTGCTTTCACGACTAGCTTGGCCAGCAAAAATTGGAAACACAGTAGATTCCTGGGATCCAGCAATCTTAAAGCGATGGGAATGGGCATCATATTCATCACGGAACCTATTGCTTGTCCCTCTACCAACTGCAAGGTATCGGGGATTAGGCTAAAATATTTCTAGCTGAAGACTTTTTACCTATAATAGTGGGAGCCAACCCAGCGCAACGGCCAGTACAAGGTGGATCTTCATGGTGAACATACATTTAGGCCATCAATGAAACAGTTTAAGAATCAGAAATACTGAAATGGATTTGTTTTGGAACGGATGCAAATTAATTTGCCACATTAGTTTGACGTATTACATTTACATATGATATGTATATCCCTTTCAAGGAATCTTTAAGAGAAATATTTGCTATGATTACCACACGAAATATTCGGGAATTTCAGGGGCCTTAGAAGTTGCCTTCGTATTAGTTGTCTTATTATTCGGATTATATATGCAGCCATCGAGGAGTTCGTAAATGCTGGGAGCTCCGAAATAAATCTTAAACGCATCCCTCGCGCACTTGGTTCCAATTATTGGTTCGCTGTAGCTCAAACTGTGCAACTTTTCCAGTGATTTAACCAAAGAGAAAGAGTTTGAGATGACTTTTTTCATTCAAGAAGTCCCACCAACAATTGCATCCACGATTATGCCCGAACAGGTCTTAACAATTGGCGCGACTAATTCTACAAGCTCTCTGAAGGCTTTCAGTATTCGAAACATTTTTTCACCATATGTTTCGGCACAGGTGACCAAAGCAAAAGTGATTTTTCCTGAATCCTTAACCAGCCTGGCCATCCACCACAAGATACACTTCAAACTGCTTACATTCGTAATTTTTCTGGCAATGGTAAATGTTGACATTTTCGCGGAACTTATTCGTTCTTCATCTGCCAACTGCAAAGGATCGGGAATAACCTATAGATGTTTATAAAGACTTTTGAAGCCTGCTTTTACCGATTTAGTGATGAAAAAACAAAGCACGAACGCCAGTACCAGACCGATGTGGATCTTCATGGTGAACAGACATTTAGGCCATCAACGAAGCAGTTTAAGAACCAGACATAACCAAATTGATTTATTTGGAACGGATGCAAATTGATTTGCCATATTAGTTCGACTTATTACATTTATATATTATTTATATATCCCTTTAAAGGAATCTTTAAGTCAAACACTTGCTATGATTATCACTCACTCGGGAGGTTTGGAAATTTCAGCGGGTTCAGTAGTTGTCCCCTCGTTAGTTGTCTCCTCGTTAGTTGTCTCCTCGTTAGTTGTATCCTTGTTAGTTGTCTCCTCGTTAGTTGTCTCCTTATTAGTTTCCTCCGTATTAGTTGTCTTATTATTCGGATTGTATATGCAGCCATCGAGGATATCGTAAACGCTGGGAGCTCCGGAATAAATCTGAAACTCTTCCCTCGCGCACTTGGTTTCAATTTTTGGTCCGCTGTTGTTCTCATTGTGCAACTTTCTCAGTGCTTTAATCAAAGAGTAAGAGTTCGAGGTAACTTTTGTGACACAAGCAACACCACCAACAAATGCATTCACGATTATGCCCGAACAGATCTTAACAATTGGCGTGACTAATTCTACAAGCTCTCTAAGGCTTTCACTATTCGAATAATTTTGTCACTATATGTTTTGCCACAGGTGTACAAATCAAGAGTGATATTTCCTGAATCCTTAACCAGTCTGGACATCCACCACAAGATACACTTCAAACTGCTTACATTCGTAATTTTTCTGGCAATTGTAAATGTTGACATGTTCGCGGAACTTATTCGTTCTTCATCTGCCAACTGCAAAGGATCGGAATAATCTTTAGATGTTTATAAATACTTTTCAAGCCTGCTCTTACCGATTTAAGGGTGAAAAAACAGAGCACGAATGCTAGCACCAGACCGATGTGGATCTTCATGGTGAACAGACATTTAGGCCATCAACGAAACAGTTTAAGAACCAGACATAACCAAATTGATTTATTTGGAACGGATGAAAATTGATTTGCCATATTAGTTCGACTTATTACATTTATATATTATTTATATATCCCTTTAAAGGAATCTTTAAGTCAAACACTTGCTATGATTATCACTCACTCGGGAGGTTTGGAAATTTCAGCGGGCTCAGTAGTTGTCCCCTCGTTAGTTGTTTCCTCGTTAGTTGTCTCCTCGTTAGTTGTCTCCTTATTAGTTGCCTCCGTATTAGTTGTCTTATTATTCGGATTGTATATGCAGCCATCGAGGATAACGTAAACGCTGGGAGCTCCGGAATAAAACTGAAACGCTTCCCTCGCGCACTTGGTTTCAATTTTTGGTCCGCTGTTGTTCTCATTGTGCAACTTTCTCAGTGCTTTAATCAAAGAGTAAGAGTTTGAGGCAACTTTTGTGACACAAGAAACACCACCAACAAATGCATTCACGATTATGCCCGAACAGGTCTTAACAATTGGCGCGACTAATTCTACAAGCTCTCTGAAGGCTTTCACTATTCGAATAATTTTGTCACTATATGTTTTGCCACAGGTGTACAAATCAAGAGTGATATTTCCTGAATCCTTAACCAGCCTGGACATCCACCACAAGATACACTTCAAACTGCTTACATTCGTAATTTTTCTGGCAATTGTAAATGTTGACATGTTCGCGGAACTTATTCGTTCTTCATCTGCCAACTGCAAAGGATCGGAATAACCTATAGATGTTTATAAAGACTTTTCAAGCCTGCTCTTACCGATTTAAGGGTGAAAAAACAGAGCACGAATGCCAGCACCAGACCGATGTGGATCTTCATGGTGAACAGACATTTAGGCCATCAACGAAACAGTTTAAGAACCAGACATAACCAAATTGATTTATTTGGAACGGATGCAAATTGATTTGCTATATTAGTTCGACTTTTTACATTTATATATGATTTATATATCCCTTTAAAGGAATCTTTAAGTCAAACACTTGCCATGATTGTCACTCACTCCGGAGGTTTGGAAATTTCAGCGGGCTCAGTAGTTGTCCCCTCGTTAGTTGTCTCCTCGTTAGTTGTCTCCTTGTTAGTTGTCTCCTCGTTAGTTGTCTCCTTATTAGTTGTCTCCTTATTAGTTGTCTCCTTATTAGTTGTCTCCTCGTTAGTTGTCTCCTTATTAGTTGTCTCCTCGTTTGTTGTCTCCTTAATAGTTGTCTCCTTATTAGTTGTCTCCTTATTAGTTGTCTCCTCGTTAGTTGTCTCCTTGTTAGTTGTCTCCTCGTTAGTTGTCTCCTTATTAGTTGTCTCCTTATTAGTTGTCTCCTCGTTCGTTGTCTCCTTATTAGTTGTCTCCTTAATAGTTGTCTCCTTTTTAGTTGTCTTCTTAATAGTTGTGTTTTTAGTAGTTTTCCTTTTATGCGGGTTCATGCAGCCGTCGAGGATACGGTAGATACTGGAAGCTCTGAAATAATTATGAAACGCGTCCCTCGCGCACCTCGTTTGAGTTTTTGGTTTTCTGTTGGTCTCATTGTGCATCGCTCTCAATTTTGTAACCAAACCGATAGAACTTGTTTCAACTTTTTTCATACAAGATGACCCACCAACAACTATATCCACGATTATGCCCGAACAGGTGGCAACAATTGGCTTGGATATTTCGACAAGCTCTTTGAAGATTTCCAGGATTCGAAAAGTTCTTTCGCCATATTCTTTGGCACAATGGACCAAAGCAAAATTGAGATTTGTTGAATCCTTAGCCAGCCTGGACATCCACCACAAGATACACTTCAAACTGCTTGCATTAATAATTTGTCTGGCAATGCCAGAGGTTGACATGTTCGCGGAACTTATTTGTACTTCATCTGCCAACTGCAAAGGATCGGTAATAACCTATGGATTCTTATAAAGACTTTTATAGCCAGTTTTTACCGATTTTGTGGTGAAAAAACAGAGCACGGACGCCAGCACCAGCACGATGGGGATCTTCATGGTGAATAGACATTTAAGCCATCAATGTAACAGTTTATACACCAGCAACAACTAAATCGATTTGGTTTGGAACGGACGCTAAGGAATTTGCCACATTATTTCGATTTATTGCATCTAAACAGATTTGTTTCAATGGATTAGTTTAGTTATAGTTTTCTTATTATCCGCTTATATGCAACCATCGATGACATCGTAGGCACTGGAACCTCCGAAATATTCCTTCAACGCCTCCCTCGGGCATTCCGTTTTAGTTGTTGGTTCGCTGTTCATCTCATTGTGCAACTTTTTCAATGCAAAAACCAAAGAGAAAGACTTAAGGGTTACCTTTTTCACACAAGCTATCCCACCAACATATGCATCCAAAATTATGGTCATGCAGCTGAGAACAATGGGCTTCGCAACTACCATAAGCTCTTCGAAGGCTGCCAGGATTCGCAACGCTTTGTCGCCATGTTTTTTGCCACATATAACCAAATCAAGATGGATTTTTCCAGAATTCTTGACCAGACTGGACAGCCAAGACACGAAACACTTTATGCTCCCCATATTCGTAATTTTTTTGGCGATTTCCATGCTCGACATTTTCGCGGAACTTTTGGGTTTAGCATCTGCCAACTGAAAAGGATCAGGAATAAGCTGAGATCTTTATATGGTCTTTTAAGTCTGAGATCTTTACCGATTTAATGATGAAAAGACAAAGCACGAAGGCCAGAACGATATGGATTCTCATGGTGAACACTCAGGCGATCAATGAAGCTGTTATGAACCAGAAATACCCAAATTGACTTGTTTTGGTACGGATACAAACTAATTTGCCACGCTAATTGAATTAAATGACATACTTCGGAATTTTAATAGGTCGAATTAGCTGCTATCGATAATATTGTAGAGACTAAAACCTGTGAAATATTTCTAAAACGAATCCTTAGAGCACTTCGCTTTAGTTGTTGGATCGGTTTTCAGTTCAGCTTGCCACTTTTTATACCCGTTCTCAAAAAAGTGTTAAGGGGTATTGTATTTGTGGTAAAAGTGTATGTGTGCAACGCAGAGCAGGAATCGTTTGCGACCCCATAAAGTATACATATATATTCTTGATCAGCATCAATAGCCGAGTCGATATAGCCCTGTCCGTCTGTCCGTCCGTTTGGCCGTCTGTCCGTCTTGATGAGCGCCTAGACTATAAGAGCTAGAGCAACCCAATTTTGTTTCTAGACTCATGTGATATCACACTACTACAAGTTTATTTCAAAATTTCGCTTCGCCCCCTTCCGCCTCTACAAAAGAGGCGTGCCTGTGGCAGGCACAATTTTAAAGATACGATAGAACTAAAAACGTAGTATCGTAGAAAATGACCATATCTACCATATCTGTATTGCCGAATCTGAATCAGATCGGATCATAATTATAGCCAGAATGAAGAAATTAATTTTCAGTTGCTTCCCCCACCTCCTCCAGCAAGAGACCCGCTACTCATTCTCTTTCTCGCTCGCACACTCTGCCTTGTTCAGTGCGCGAGTGCTCGCCAGCGGAGAAGATGTAGAATATAAATGGTACATGTAGAATATAAATGGTACATGTAGAATATACATGTTAGATGTATAATATACATTGTATATGTAGACAACAGATGTAGCAAAAAAATGTAAAGTATAACATTTTTTTAAATTCTAAAAATCATAAGCTCAAAGTTTTATATACTGACTGAGTACGAGTATAAAAGTAGAGTCGCGGCCCCAGAAGTGACTCAAACGATCCTTTTCGTTTTTAAGTCCGCTTGCGAAAATTTAGCAAGACTTAAACGTCACATGGTTTTTGTCCGCTAAATGCTCTTTTTTGAGTCGGCTTGCGGACATTGAGCGAGGCTTCAGTAATCGCTCACGGATTTTTATCATTTCTAAGTCCGTTTACGAACATTTTGCGATAGTTCCGCTTTCTATCGTCTTTTGGTCCACCGGGCTAAGATAAGCGCATTGAAGGCATTCAGGATTCGAACCGATTTGGCACATTCGAACAAATCTTGACCAGACTGCCCACCCAATACAGGAAACACTTCATACTGCCCACATTCGCCATTTTTCGTGGCAATTTCAAGGGTTGTCATTTATTCGCTCCTCATCTGCCAACTGCAAAGGATCAGGAATAAGCTATGGATCATTATAAAGACTTTTACCGATTTGCCTCTACCGATTCAGTGATGTAAAAACAAAGAAAAACACAGGCCAGAACGAGTTGGATCTTCATGGTGAATTGGCACTCCACGGGGCATAAATTAAACCATTTTATAAACCATTACCACATTGATTTGTTGTGCGAGAACTGCAAATGAAATGGATTTTAAGGGGTTAATAAAGCAAAGAAAGTATCCTGTAGACAATCTAATGTCGATTTTATTCATTTCAATTTGTTAACTTCGCAATTTTCAGCGCATTTCTCCGGGTATAAGCAGCTATCGATGATTTCGTAGACACTTGTAACTGAAAAGAATTTCTTGAACGAGTTTTTCGCGCACTGCGTCGCATTTCGTGGCTCACCGGAGCACGCATCGTGAAACTGTTTCAGTGCTCGAACCAAAGGCAAGGCCTTAAATGATATTTCTTTGATACAAAATAGCCCACCAATAACTGCATTTGCGATTATGCCCGCACAGGCTGTCACAATGGGCTGGACTTTGGTGGCAATCGATACGAAGGCCGTCAAGATGCTCGCCGATTTATCGCCATATCCTGTGGTACAAGCAGCCAAATCAGTAGTAAATGTACCTGCATTTTTCCCCAGCCTCGACAGCCAATTCAGGAAACACTGAATGCTGCTTTTCTCTATCAATTTTTTGGCAATCGCAATGCTCGACATGTTTGCGGAACTTATTTGTTCTTCCTCTGAACACTGCAACGCATCGGGGGATTAGCTAAGATCAAAGTAAAGTCTCGTTTTTGCTCTTCCTTTACCAATGATGCGGTGATGGAGCACAGCACGACGGCCAGCACAAGGTGGAACTTCATGGTTAAATGGTGTTCCAAAATCCATAAATGAAAACTATTTGTGTGCCGTAAGCGAATTGATTTATTTTGGAATGATGCATATAATTAATTCCATCTATTCTTTATCAGACAGGCTCCGGCTTTCACCTAAATTTTTTTACGAAAGTAAAAATCGAGCCGTTTGTAGAGTTTAATCACAATCACCGACACACGAGATTTCTATTATCAGTCCCTTGGAATTCTTCTTTTCCTTGGAATTCTTCTTTTCCTCGGAATTCTTCTTTTCCTCGGAATTCTTCTTTTCCCCGGGACTCTTGTTTTCCTCGGGACTCTTGTTTTTCTCGGGACCCTTGTTTTCCTCGGGACTGTTCTTTTCGTTGGGACTCTTCTTTTCCTCGGGACTCATCTTCTCGTCTTCGCAATCTTCAATGGGTTTGCTCGGGAATAAGCAGCGATCGAAGACATCGTAGACAGATGTAGCATTGATAAATTTCTTAAACGATCCCTTTATGCATTTGGCCGCACTTGGCTCTTCGCTTTTCCACGCTTTATGGAAGTCTATCAGTGCTTTAATCAGAGCCAGAGTGTACTTGCCAGCTGCTTTCAAACAGTACATCCCACCAACAACTGCATTCACGATTATGCCCGTACAGGAGTCAACAATGGGCTCAGCCACTTTACAACTCTTTTTGAAGTAGTGATGGAAATTGGGGAGGCACCTTGCCTGAGGTCCGACGCTGCACTCGGCTAAGTCAAGCGATATTGAAGCTGAATTCTTGACCAGCTTGGCCATCCAATGCAAGAAACACTTGAGTTTTTCCAAAGACAGCAATTTCTTGGCTATGCTAATCGCTGACATTTTCTCGGAACTTGGTCCCCCCTCTGGCTTACATTCCTCTGCCGCTGGGGCTGGCGCTGGCGCAGGCGCTGGAGCTGGCGATGGCGCAGGAGCTGGCGTAGGCGCTGGTGTAGGCGCTGGCGTAGGCGCTGGCGTAGGCGCTGGCGTAGGCGCTGGCGCAGGAGCTGGCGCAGGAGCTGGCGCAGGCGCTGGTGTAGGCTCTTTCTGGTTCCAACTAATTTTTATCCAGGGCAACTTGATCTGCATCGATGCGGTGAAAATACACAGAACAACAACCAGAATGAGGTGGAACTTCATGATGAACTGGCACTTAAAATTAGAAATAAAACCGTTTATAAGCGCGACAAACTCAAATTGATTTTGGATTTGGAACAGCTACAAATTGATTTTCCGTTATTAATTCGATTTGTTCACAAAACAAGTTAAAATTTCATGCCAAACTGGCCAAGAATATCATTTGAATCGCAATCCCTGCATTATCAAAATTAATTCGACTTGCTCCGTTTTTTGTTGCATCCGTTTGCAGGGAGGCTGAGGGCGAACTGTCTCTCTGCACCGGCGACTATCTGCTGGTGTGGACCAGCGGCGAGCCCCAGGGTGGCTATCTGGATGCGGAGCTACTGGATGGAAGACGCGGCCTAGTGCCCGCCTCCTTTGTACAGCGTTTAGTGGGTAGGTTTCCACTCTTAACCCCCTCTGTGCTCTCTGTGCTTGCTTAATCTTCAACTTTCTTTCGCGAACAGGCGACGATTTGCTGGAGTTCCATCAGGCGGTACTATCGACACTGCGCGACGCCGAGGATGGTTCGATGCAGTGCGACACAACGTCGCTGCCCTCCTTGCCGCCGCACAACCCATTGCTCACACACACCCACGAGGATTTGGCACGTTTGAGTGAGACGCACACCGATCTGGAGCACGACCAGGATGACATTAGCGATAATGGTAACTATTGCCCAGCCCCTCCCCACGCCCCAAACTGTATGTTTTAATCTCTTTGGTTTTTGTGGCGATCCACGAATGCATCGCTTTTGCATGGCCTGCATGTGAGCATTGAGACTCCTTGACTCCTTGAGAGCAGTAGAGACAGAGACACTCCCATTAACAGTACCACTAGCAGTCCAAGTCCCAGTCTCAGTTCAGCTACAAGCTACAGATTTTACACTCCATCTAATGGCTTTGTATTGCCTTATGTGACACAGTTCCAGCACCCAAACACTTGACGCTGGAACGGCAGCTGAATAAGAGCGTGCTCATTGGCTGGTCCCCACCGGAGCCAGTGGGCTACAATCTCATCGAGAGCTATCATGTCTATGTGGATCGTGTGCTGAAGGTCTCTGTGAAGGCCAATGAACGCACACGCGCATTAATCGAGGGCGTTGACTCCACACGGGTAAGCTTCAAGATCCTTCAGCGTAAAGCTACCTGACTACTGACTCTGCCTATCCTTTTACAGCCGCATCGCATTAGCGTGCGGAGCGTGACCCAGAATCGGCAGACGTCCCGGGACGCCGCCTGCACCATGATCATTGGGCGGGACACGTCGCATCTGGGCCCCTCGGCGGTGCGCGCCTCGCACATAACGTGTTCCTCGGCGGTCATCTCGTGGCAGCCGGCCAATTCGAACCACCAGCACGTGGTGTGTGTGAACAATGTGGAGGTGCGCACCGTCAAGCCGGGCATGTATAGGCACACCATCACTGGGCTGGCGCCGAGCACACAATATCGGGTGACCGTGCGGGCCAAGCATCTGCGCGCGGTTGGGCAACAGACGCCCCAGCAGACGCCGGGCAGGCCCGGACAGGAGGAGGCACCCGGTGCCTATGCAGATTTCCGTACCCTCACCAAGGGCCTGCCCGATCCGCCGCAGGAGATCCAGCTTGAGGCTGGGCCACAGGATGGCACCATTCTGGTGACATGGCAGCCGGTCGCCAGGCCCACCGCGACTGGGCCTGTTACCGGCTATGCTGTGTACGCCGATGGTAAGAAGGTCACCGACATCAATTCGCCCACCGGCGACCATGCCCTCATCGATATCGGCAAGCTGGGCGTCTTCAATCCCCGTGCCGTGACCATACGCACCAAGTCACGGGACTCACAGTCGGCGGACAGTGCGCCCATCTTGATACCAAGTGAGTGCAAGGATGGAGAGGGAAGGAAGACCTCTCTACGTATATCTATAACCGTATCTGATCGCTTGCAGACACTGTGCGCAATGCCGTTGCTCGACGGGGACCAAATCAAATGGGCATGGGTCCGCAGCTGCCGCAGGGGCCACACGGCATGCAGCAGCAGATGGGCGGCATGCCCGGACAGGTGGGGCAGCAGCAGCAGCCAATGATGATGGGCCAACAGGATCAACATGGGCAGTACGATCCCAGCCACATGCAGCAGCAGCAACAGCAGGGCATGCAACAGGGCATGCAGCAGGGCATGCAGCAGGGACAGCAGCCCGGTCAGCCGGGTCATCAGGTGAGTGTCCGGCGGAGTGCTGGTAGTCCGTATATACACTGTAAATAATGTTCTATGAACTTCGTTTTTGTTTTGATCATTTCGATGCAATTGGCTCTGAAAAATATACCTACTAAATTCTATTAACTAAACTTTAAAGCCAACACAACATTGAAGAATGTACATACCATAAAGATCTACTTTACGGATTGTAGATGCATATACTATACTCCATTTACTCTACCCATACTCTACTATACTATACTATACTATACTATACTATACTATACTGTACTATATATACGTATACTCCCAGTCCGAATGCCACACGATCGAATCATCCAATGAAAAACAATGAAATTTCATTCCTACCAACTGCTTGCATAGCCCCCGCAATTCCCCTTTGCACCATCAGACCCAGATAAGAATAAGAAATCTTAAAACCTCACACACTTCCCCAAAAAGTATATCCTAACCGAATGCATTAACATCTATCCTTTGCCGAACTCTTTCTGGAAGGAGTGTGTCCTGTGTTGTCTTAAGTTTTATTTTACACCTTCTCTCTCTCTCTGCCACTCTCTGTTTTCTGCTCCTAACTTGAGATCTATTTATTGGACTGCCTTTATTTCTTACCACTACCACTACTACTACTTTCGGTCGATTTGTTTTGCAAATGTACCACATTATATAAATATATATATACCTACATACATACTCGTACACTGTGATAAATTCTGAAACAATCGCACCAAATTCACACAAAACAAAGTACTTACTGGGGCACTTGCCATTGAAGTCCTCGATATCCACTATGCTATATGTGATAAGAACCAAAACCAATTGAACAAAGACCTCCTACTCCCCACCCCTACAAAAAACAAAACGGAACTTGTATGTATGTAAATTTATTTTGATTCCTTTTACTTTTAAGTTAAATTTTGGAATTTTATTTTGGATTTTGAATTTTGGTTTGAAGAGATATTTGCCCCCCAGAGTATGGTATGCCAACTTTTGCTAGTACTTTTTCCCCCATATCATTTCGATCTTTAAGTTCGTGCCGAGTAAAATTCACAATTATTGTAGCATGTCTTGAATTTAATTGCAATTCAAATTGCAAAAAAAAGATTAACAATAATAATAATAAGCAAAACAACCCAAAAAAAAAAACAAAAATATATTTGCAATATATATTTGAACATTGTTGAGTTATTCAGATTTCAAATAGAGTTTTATTATCTAAGTACTATATTTGAGCGGAAGCGATATAATGCCGATCGATTTTATTAAGGAATATACGCAATGCAACGAACAATTTTAAACAAAACAAGTTACATATTCATTTTCATTATATGAAACCCAAAAACTGATACGATCGTTATACGATATCTGATCTGATCCGATCCGAACCGATCCGACATAACAGCCCGACGGAGGCTCCGGCTTGTTAGGTGGCCTGCTCGGTGGCCTCTTCTCGAAACCCACACAGAGTCAAGTGAACCAGAATGTAAGTTATACCCACAACATCTCTCACATATTGCCACACACACACACACACACCACACACACTCACCCACACACACACACACACTATAGAACGTAAGCTAAACGTAATTGTAAACGTAACTTTATAGTACTCTATAGAACTAAAACTACGTTAAGTGTTCAATGCATACAATATTTATTTGGTCAGTTAAACTCTAGTCCTAGAACTTGCTTTCAACTCGAAAACAAAAAACCAAAACAAATCTGGATAATTGAAGCTGTATATTGAAGTCGAAAAATGAGTAATTTGCAGCATTTATTGCCCTTTGATTTTGTGTGTTGAGTTCCTTTTAGATTTCTTATCCTTTTTTCTGTTACCTTACTAAGTATCTTTGTATGCCATGCCTCTAGGGAAGTGATTTAGAACCTAAAATCATACGGCTTAGACGGCTTGTAAGTACCAAAAAAAAAAAAACAGGATGGAGAACATTCTTGCATGCTTAATCGGGTGTTGGGAAAATACTCAGTACCATAAGCTAAGCTACCATCGATACAGATTGAACTTGATGGGTGCGATCATTTGTACAAAGCGTCGACCAGTCAGTGTTGTGTTTTTCGACTGATAAATACCAGTACCCAACCTATACACATACATATATCCTATGTAAATTAGCAGTTGCTGCTAGAAAATATACACACACAAACAAACACACATACCACTCGCCACTCGCCACTCGCCGCAGATACCGCTACTGTAACTGTGCCCATCCATCCACATAGATAACTACGAACTCGAATCCGTGTGCTTTCTTACTACCGATATTAAACCAGCCTCAACCTACTGCCACTTACTGCATACCTCTCTCTCTGTACTCGTCTAGCTTCGTACTCGACTATCAAGCTCTATAGATAATTGATTTTTCAGTTCTTCGTATATAGATCGTAACACACACACATACACATATACATACATATATATATATATACATACAGTACATATATACATACACATTCAGCTTTCGTACTTCCTTAGTTTTGCCTAAAAAAAAAAACAAAAGAGAAAAATACTTTAAAGTAAAATAAAACAACAGCTAAACGCAGACGCCTCCACCTTTGCTACTAAACCGAATTAAAGAAAACCTCTCTAAAGACAATGTGAATGAAAAACAGAGTACAGATTAAGAACCTGCAAACATCCTCAAAAGAATCTCAAAAAATGCTAACAAAATTTTAAATTTCAATCAAATTAATTCAAATTCATGCGCGTGCAAACACGATCGACGATCCTGGGGAATTCGAATCAAATATATGCAGGGATATCAGCAGCCGGGGCCAGCAGGAGCACAGCGTGGCATGGCGCCAGTCCCAGGCAGACCGCAGGGGCCACAGCAGCAGCAGCAACAGCTACAGCAGCAGCAGCAGCAGCAACAGCAACAGCAGCAGCAGTACGGTCCCCAGGGCCCCAGAGGGGGGCCACGCTTCCGAGGACCAGTACCCGGGCAGATGAACATGCAGGGTCAGCAAATGCAAGGACAGATGCCAGGACAAATGCAAGGACAGATGCAGGGACAGATGCCAGGACAGATGCAGGGTCAAATGCAGGGTCAAATGCCTGGCCAAATGCCAGGGCAGATGCCTGGTCAGATGCCAGGTCAGATGCCAGGGCAGATGCCAGGGCAGATGCCAGGTCAGATGCCAGGTCAGATGCCAGGTCAGATGCCTGGTCAGATGCCCAATCAAATGATGGGCCCACGCGGACCCCTCAACCAGCAGCAACAGGGCCAGCATCAGCCTGGCGGCCAGCAGCAGCCCGGACAACAGCAGCAGCAGCAACAGCAGAAGAAACCCCGCTACTTTGTGGCCATGTTCGACTACGATCCATCGACCATGAGTCCCAATCCCGATGGCTGCGACGAAGAGCTGCCGTTCCAAGAGGGTGATACGATCAAGGTAAGCTCGCTGATCCCTTCCAACACACACAGAACCACCAAAACACTTTCCAGCTGCCGACAAATGATACGTAGGCCCCACGCAGAGATCAGATGGCGGTGTGATGTGACGATCCATCCGAGCCCTCGGTACGAGCAAACGGTAAAGCTATCTTATCCGAACAGAACCAGATATGAACCAGCCACAGCCACAAATTGGATGCAATTGGATGCGAACTCGAACTCGATCTCCATATCCGATATTGATATTGGCTGCGCTTGCTTGTTGCGCTAATTGAATGATCAGTGCATGTTTTTCCTTCGCCCCACCCACCACTCGACTCCCACCTCACTGACTCTCACCGACTCAATGACCCATCCAGACTGGTTTGAGAACCCGATCCGTATCGTACCGTACCGTACCGTTATCTACCCCCTCTACCAATAACAACTATCAACCCATACAGTAATCAATACTACCCACTAAGTAGACGTTGCTCTCTCTCTCTCTCTCTCTTCTAATAGTTCCATAAATAATCGTTAAGTTAGCGTTATGCACCCCCAATACACACTTTTACCCACAATAATCTCCATGCGAATACACTAAAGCCCCCCGTCCCCCGCAGCCCATCTCTGCCCGATCTGTACTCATGTCTACCCCATCTCTGGCTCTTCCACTCTTCCGCTCTCTCTCTCTCTCTCTCTCTCCATCTCTCTCGGTTCCGGCCGTAGGTCTTTGGTGATAAGGATTCGGATGGCTTCTACTGGGGCGAGCTGGCCGGTCGTCGCGGCTATGTGCCGCACAACATGGTCTCTGAGGTGGAGGATACGACCGCATCGATGGCGGCCGGCGGTCAAATGCCAGGTGCCATGCAGGGCGCTGGCGTTGGCGTTGGCGTGGGTGGCCAGGCGCAGGTGATGCCGGGCCAGGTGGTGCCCCAGCAGAGCATGCGCAACGTGAGCCGCGATCGCTGGGGCGACATCTATGCGAATATGCCGGTGAAGCGGATGATTGCCCTCTACGACTACGATCCCCAAGAGTTGAGTCCCAATGTGGATGCCGAGGTAGGTCAAAAGGGAATTATTGATTGCTTGCAAGTAGAAAAGGACTTTGTGCTTGGGCCTCCTTTGGGTTTTTGCGTCTCTTGTTTGATCCGAAATGTTGTCTCCTACTTAGCGCAGGGAAAGCCGTGCGGGGAGTGGTCTTATGGGTGGTCTATTGGGCAGTTTTCTGCCAGGCTTCCGCCAGGACTTGATTGATCCCATGTCCAGTGAAGTGAGTGTCGTATCTCAGCCCTCAGCCACACCTCCATAGAACCGCAACTACTTACTGCTAACACTGCTTTTCCGATCCTCCTGCTGCTCCGATCTACACTTTTATCCGAACCAGCTAACGTCTTTCGTTGACCTTCTTTGACTTTGCCCCATATCCAGCAGGTGGAATTGTGCTTTAAGACGGGCGAGATCATATTGGTGTATGGTGAGATGGATGAAGATGGTTTCTACATGGGCGAACTGGACGGAGTGCGCGGCCTGGTGCCGTCGAATTTCCTGGCCGATGCGCCCGATCAGTACAACAACCAGATGGGTCCGGGCGGTGCGGCCGGCCGTGGCGGTCTCAGTCAGCGGGGCAGGGGCCAGGGACCCGGTGCGAGAGGACCACCGCCGCCGCCGCGGGATAATATGATGCCTGGCGCGGCCGGGCGTGGTCAACCAGGTAAAAGTAAGTAGGCTTTGTGCAGAACATAACGATAACGATAAACTACAAATGCAATTTATTGTCACATTTTGATTTTTACGTTTTGTGTTTCTTTCGTTTCTTTCATGTATTTTCTTCGTTTGAGTTGAATACGAATTAAAACCAATCCAATCCAAATGATCAAATGATCCAAATCGAAAAACCAATTAATTATCCGGCATTTCAAGAGATTTCAATTTTATTTTTCATATTTTATGTTTGGTTGTTCTTCGATTCGTACGATTGAGTTTGAAATCAAAAAAAAAAATATATATATATCACAAAATAATACAAAAACATATACTTTTATCTCGAAATCACTCTTTATAAGATGAATAACTACGTTATGCAGGTTCTTCCAGACTACATAAACAATAATTCCAATTCCACAAGCAGGATAATGTATCCCTACAACTACTACTACTATTACTATAGCAAAGCCATTTCTGATACCGATACCCGATACCCCCCGCCCAAAAGTTTTGAGTTTCATATTCTTGGTTCTTCCCTTCCTTCGTTTTTTTGTTTTCTGTCTTTCCAAATCTTCCCAAACTAAAAAAAAAGAAGAGAAAAACAAAATACGATCAGCCGAACAAACACCGAGAATATTTTCCACTCTTTCTCTCTACTATTTCTGTCTCGACTCTCTATCGCAAAAAAAAAAAATACTTCGAAATGAAATAAAATAAAAAAAAATATAAGAAAACAGTTACAAGTTGAATACAAATTCTGATTTTTGAACGCCGCCAAATTTGATTTCCATTACGATTCCGTGCGAAACTTCTTATGTGCAACTCTCTCTCTTTTTCTCCCATTCTTTATTAAATTATTGAATTAATATGCGATTTTGGTTGATGTACAAATTAAATGATTTCCAGCACCAATCAGTTCGATATTTCCAATTATATATTTACTATATATATATATATTCAATATTCTATATTAAATTATATATTTCCCTCATTGTTTTGTACGTTGTTTGTTTCTGTTTACGTTTTATTTGGATTCAAGTGATATTTAATTCAAATCAAATACAAATATACAATAGATAGTTGTTGTTCTTGTTGTTGTACACACACTATATATATATATATATATATCTTTATATTTCTTAAGCATCCATCGATCCATTCATAATCATATTCCCTTCAAAAGAATTCAAAAATAATCAGTAATAAAAATCAAACAGATCACAAATCTGTCTCAAACGATTGGAATTTTCGGTATAAAAATATAGGATCATCATTCCCACTCACGCCCATTACTCAGTTTCATTTCTAACTTTGTATATATATATTTTTCACCTAGCTTTTTCTTCTTCTTGTCTATAACAATTTTTTAAGTTGAATTTCCTATTTTAAACTGGTCTCCTGTCTCTCTTTGTCTTGCGTGCCTTTCTCTAGCCGTGTACAAATTATAGTTGGTCTTGCATGTCAATTGAATATTGTATTTTGTTTTTGAAACAGTTTGAAACAGATTATACTCTTTTTGTTTCGCTCGTTATGGGTTTTTATTTTTTAAGAGTAAGGCCAAGTGTTTGCATTAACAATACTAATTACCTGCACCTGATTGCCGAATGAACTTGAATTGCCTACCAGTAGATAATCCACCAATGAGACATAGAAGTAAACAAAAAGACAACCAACCAACTAGCCTCTCTACTCTTGTGTGTGAACCCTCAAACCAGACATAGTGATCGATCATGTGAATGATCATCGTACATATGTATCTGTAAATACTGTTGGTAAATGCTTCTCTCTGACAGACCAAGACAGTTTCGAAACCCGACTAGCAAGCAAAAGCAATCTCTGGTTCTTCCGAATTGTAATCCCCTGGGACCCCCACAGATCCAACCCAATTTATCCCACAAATACCATACAACATTGTTGAGTACTTTAAGTACTCGAGTATCTCAAGTATCTGCTTCTCGAATCAAAACTATTTCTTTTAGCGATGTTTTTCCTCTCGTTGATTTTTCGATTTACATTTTTATTTCCTTTTTTGCGTTAAATGTTTTCCTTCCTGGTTTTTCTGAATGTTGGTCTTGTTTGTTTGCGAATTAGCTTCTTCGATATATATATATTTACTATTCGTTCATTTTTGTTCAAGATATATAACAACAAAAACAACAACAACATCAGAAAAAGGGCTAACAAAAAGCACCCGAAAAATCAATCCAAAAACCATTACAAAAATTTCAATTTCAAATAAATACGAGCGCAGTCGTCTCTTTGTATCTAATGTACATCTTTTTGTAAAATACTAAATTTAAATTTAAACTTTAACTTATTTCCAAATATATACCTACAAAATACAAAATATACTAAATATACAACTAAGTGCCCGTCCAACTACTACTACTACTATTTATACCCTATACTTACCCCTCTCAAAATAACTTTTGTAAAGTGCATACCAAAATGCTTACAACCAAAGAACCATAATATCGAATTCCATCCACCATTCAGAAATATCAAGCGCTATCCTTAGATCTGAAAGGTAATATTTAAAACAATTTTAATCTACATATGTCTGGACAGCAAAGCAATTAAATCCAATTCGATCTGAATCCATTTGGCGCTTCTTCCTCTCGTTTTTGCAAAACTCAAAAATTTCAACAGAATGAAGCCCGTATTTTATTTGAAAGTGATGTGAAATTAAACATTTTTAAACTGTTCTTTTTAGTTCGATTCTACCCTTTTCATTATCATTTTTCAATTGGTTTGTTTTTTTTTTTGTGTGAACTGCGGTGAAATTATAGAGAACAAGACTCATGTAACTTACTCAAACTTTTACCCACGCGGAGGAGACCAACCAAAAAAAATTATATCCTGTATAGGATCTTTCCAACCCACATTTAATCACAGTTCCCCGAACAGGCAGCTTCAGCAGTCCTCTTACTCCACTTTAACTCTAAATCGAAATCTCCAAAAATATTCTGAAAAATTGAACGCGACTAAATTCCAATATATTTCGATATAAAGTTTTGGTTTTGTTTTTGGTTTTCGATGTTTGGTTTTGATTTACGTTTGGGTTTCCAACTCTTTCGTTCGACTACTACAAACTTCTTTCGAATAATTTTTTGTAATGGTCTGCTGTGGTAAATGTGAAGTCTTTATGTTATATTCGTTGCTATAGATGCTCGCCCTGCTTCCCCTACACTGTTAGACAACACGGGCCATCCTGCCCCCGATCACCAAACGCAGGTAAATACTCTTTCTCTCTTTTGTTTCCTCTTTTTTGTTCCGATATATTCGTTATAAAGAAAGTACGAAAAAAAAACCAAAAAAAAAAACATAGAAAGAACCAACGAAATAAAAAATATATTTTGTTGTTGTTTTTCGAAAATAAAAAAAAAACTAACTGCTTAAACTAAATTAACAAGCAAAAAGAGTGTTACGTATACGCCAAAATGTATCCGCAATTGTTCACTAAAAATACCCAGCAACAACCAAAAAAAAAACGCTACAACCCTACTTACTACTTACAAAGATTATTATTACAACAAACAACAACAACAGAAGCCACAAACAACAATTACTCAACTATAGCCTATACCTGTACCTATACCTGTGTACCTGTACCTGTACCTAATCTTCTAGCTATATCTCTTCTCCACCTTTTGCTATATCTGTCACTCATTTAATTTTCGGTTAAAATTGTCGGACAAGTCCAAAATCATTCATCACCCCCCAACCCCCAACTCAGTCCCTGACACCGACAGAACAGTACAAACACGCTATCTATCTATATCTTTCCCTATGACATACTGCTGTCGCTTTTCGTGCACACACACACACACACATACACACTCTCCAGTAGTGTCGTGTTGTTGTGTTGGTCTCTCTCTTTCATACTCGCCAATATTCGATTCGATTGTCCATTGTTTCGTCCTATTTCTCTCTCTCCTCTCTCTCTATGTCTATAACTATTGTACGCATACAACTACTACTACTAATCCTAATCCTAATCTTACTCTGTCTATATAAACTCTATATGTGTCTGTACCATAACGTATATCCAGTAACGCTCTCTCTCTCAAACCCCCAAGTCAAACGCTTACAGTACAGTACTATACATGAACATGCCAATTAACTTAACGATACCAATCAAACAACCGATTAATAGTACATACATATGTATAGCTAGCAACATGTTTATCTTGTAGTTAACATCCGAAGACAAAAAACAAAAAGACATTATTATATATACCCACAAAACATCCCAAAAAATAACAGAAACAACATTCAGCATCAGCCACCAGGCTCGTCCGTGTAAAGATCGTATCGTTGAGAGCATCCATATAATTAGACTGCAAATGCCGCACTTCATGTTGGTGTACCATAAATAAATGTACTCGATATACTTGATAGGAATTAGTATATTAATCCAGATATCGTGCTTGTGTGTATAGCCTGTATATAGTGGGAGTTCCCCAAGGAGCTTCAGCAACAATTTCCACAGCCACCCCACCACAGTCATTCTCACATCAATTTCCCTTCAGTTCTGTTCTTCACTTGCGTAACGGAGTTTTGAGTTCTTTGTATGGTTATGCATTTTCTTTTGTTATGAGTTTTCCTTATCCTGTCTATCCTGTTTTTCTGCCCAATGATTTGGTCAGCTTCAAGGCCTAGTCGATGGCTTGTAGAATTTACTTACGAGTATGCAGAGCGTAGTTGGAGTGTGACTGGATGAACCGATTAAGAATCCTTAAAGTACTATATGTATTATTTGGAATCGTTTTTGGAACGTCAATTGGAAATAATTCTGATAATTTTAAAATTAATACAACTTCGGGATGAAATTTTTTTTCAAAAAAACGGCCCTAAAATAGGTCTTACTTTCTGCTTCATCTACGACCAAGTTTCCTTCTCTATTTTGCAGCTCCAACTCATCCGAAACAGTCCATTTCATAAGCTTTTAATTTTTATACATGTGAATATATATGTATATATTCGATTTTTAAGGAAACTTTGCTTTCGAACTTTGATCTTTTATTTTGGTTGTTTATTTCATTCTGATAGCCATTTTAATTGCTGCTCCAATCCTGTATTTTAATACACTTTTTGGGCTTTTTGGGCAAAAAGCTACTGCAGGGCAGCTTTTAGTTCTTTTCATTTGAGAGTTTTATTTGTTGTTTATTAATGGGACAAAAAGAGAATTATTTTGCTTAATGTATACACAACCACATGAATACTACTCTAAGATACACAATTAACAATAATCCGAAACGAAATTGTAGGTAGGTCTGGTGTACTTCTAAACGTCTTCCAGAGCAAACAAAAACAAGTTCCCAGAAATTGAGATAAATCCCCCAAAAAAGAAAAAACCAAAATATGTACAGAAACAATAAAAACAAAAAATCACCTTATCTAAGTAACGCTAAAAACCAGATACCAGATACAAAACACACTCAAGTAAAACTTATTGCTGATAAGAATCCCCCATAAATATACATACATAAATACGCATATATATATATATCGATCTATATATGTATAATTTTAGTTTCTTTACTGGTAAACGCTACTAATTATATTAATTAATTGCTACTACTACTATTGGAATATTGGATGTAATGTGTACAAATTTCTATGTGATTCACTGTATGTGTAACTTATTGACGTTTTTTTGTTTCATTTCATTTCGTTTGGTTTCGTCAACTGGTGTCTTGAGTTCTGTTCTTTCTCCTCCACCTTCTAAGTTGTGCCCCTGAATTATTATGCTTTTCACTCTACATAAACATACTATAACCTTCCCCCTCTCATATTATTTTATTTTTGGCTAACTTTTTGTGTAAGCATTTAATTTTTAGAACTGCATTTTGCTTTAAGTTTAGACAAGAAAAAACAGCGATACGAAAACGGAAATGAAACAATTTAAATTTAATTTTAACTTTAAATTTAATTTGATTTTGTTCATCGACTAGTCAATCTCTCCATAGATGGATTATGATTATATGACACAATCGATCACAAAATACACAACAACTTATACCCCCCACATATCGTCTCACGCCTCATCAAGGTAGTGTAAATACTCGTATATAGCGATTAGATCTCCTTCTACTACGTAGTAACGTAGCGAAGTCCGTGCCACCCTGGGTCCAGCATCGAGAGTGTTTTTTGACTAGAGTTTGTCTCTTCCACACAGAATGCCACACCTGAAAAAAGAAAATGTTGCAAATTTGTTGTCGAAACGTTTATTTTTTTTTTGTTTCTTTTTTAATTTTGTAATGCGAATTTTTGTGTTCCACCTTTGGCCCTAGGCCCCACTTGATTTTGCGTTGAAAACTATTAAGAAACGTTGCTAGTTCTACATAGTTTTTGAGTTATTTTTCCAAACCAAACAAACAAAAATAAAAACCTGTCGATCCCATCGACAGCTGTGTGTACATTTTACATGCGCCGAATAGCGTATTGCTACTGGTATTCGTTTTTGATTGAAGTCTCCGGATCATTCAGATCTTTGATTTCTGCTGCACAGGATCCGCTGCCGGTTCGATTCGGTTCTTCAGTGTAGCCCTTTGCCAATTTAGTAGTTAAAGCATGTAGTTGCCATTTACTGACATAACCAAAACAACAAACAACAACTCAATCATCTCAAGTAACTCAGCAACTACTGCTCGTGGACGACCAACACCCAATAACCTAGATTGTTTCTCACTGCTACGAAAATAACGCTAAACCAAACTAACCAAACCCCATGGCCATTTCGAGTAACCACTTGAGAGAAAAAAAGAAAATTATCTGAAAATATTGAGCAAGAAATTTAACCCATAACTACTACTAACCGTACAATACTATATATGAAATATTTGAACAATTAGTTTGCCATTCGTTTTGACGAGATTACCCTATCGTGTAACCCTGATTGGAGCCATTCGACTAACTCGTTCTGTTTGGTATATTCGATAATCGCCAACTTGCAGGGGATGATCGGCCGCGTTGGTAATGTTGGCCTGCAACAGCAGCAGCAGCAACAACAGCAGCAGCAGCAACAGCAGCAGCAGCCGTACGGTCAGCAACAGGCGCAAATGGGACAGCAGCAGCAGCAACAGCAACAACAGCAAATGGGACAACCTGGAATGATGGGAATGGGTCAGCAGCCGCAACAGCAGATGGGACAACAACAGATGGGACAGCAGCAAATGGGCGGCATGGGACAAATGGGGCAGATGGGCCAAATGGGAGGAGGACAGCAGCAGCAGCAACAGCCGCCGGTTACGACGCAGGCGCAAACGGGTGGCCTGTTCTCCGGCGCGACTAGCCTGCTCTCTGGTGCTACTTCGGCTGCCACCGGTGGTCTATTTGGGTCGAAGCAACCGCCCAAAACGGATCCAATGCAACCACCTGGCGGTGTGCAGCCAACGCAGCAACAAGCAAATGCCTTTGGTGCACAGCCCGGTATGCAACAGGGCATGCAACCGGGAATGCAACAGGGCATGCAACCGGGTATGCAACAAGGCATGCAACAGGGCATGCAACAGGGCATGCAACAGGGCATGCAACAGGGCATGCAACCGGGTATGCAACAGGGCATGCAACAGGGCATGCAACAACCGCAACAGCAGCAACAACAACAAGTGCCACCCCAAGCCCAGCCACCGCCACAAGGCGGCGGTCTGCTGGGCGGCCTCAAGGGCATTGCAGCAGCGGCGCCCGGCGGCGATGTCCTCTCGAAAGGCAAAGATCTATTTGGCAAATTTGGGTTCGGCTTTGGCAAATAACCCCGGTCATTCCATAGGGTCCTGTTATATTATTCGTAGATTAGACCTATTATTACTACTATGATTATGGATTATGGATTATGATTATTGCTATTAATTATGACTACGATTACTAAGCTAATATATAAATGAGAAAACAAAACAAAAATGCTAAGAATGATACCAAACAAACCAAAAAAATCAAATCAAATAAAATAAAATGAAAAATAAAAACAAAAATAAAAAAATGAAACCCAATCCCCGGTCCACAGTTGGCTAATGTGAAAGTTGTTGCTGTTGTTGTTGATAATGATAACAAACAAACAAAAGAAAAAATGATATGGATAAACTGCAACTAATAGTACTAATGGTAATATTTTTTATTAATTAAATTGATAGAAATATTATGAGTGACAGACAACAGCAGCAGCAGCATCCCAGGGGCAGCCACAAAGAACCGAAAAATGAAAATGAATTGTTGTAATATTATTAAACCGAAACAGGAGAGAAAAAAAACCGATTCAAAAAGCATTTCCACGGAAAAGAGCACTCCCCATGGACACCCCACATACACACACACACACATACAATATACTAAATACATATATACAGAGGAGGATGGGGATGTGGGGATGGGTATGCGAGACGGAGAAAAATACATAAATATATATATAAATATATATATATATATTATACATATACATACATATTATATTTACAATTATTTGTTAACGCACATTGTTAAATTTGCTACTGTTGCTGACCAGTTTATAAATATTAAAAACAAAGAAAAAGAAAAAGAAGAAACCCAAAAGACGAGAATAAATGATACAAAGAAAAGGCAAACACATAAGGTAAACTAAAAACCCAACATAAAGATACATACATATATTATATGTATATATTTAAACTATATTGAAAACTAAAAATGAGATACATTAAAATTACGTTTATAAATCAAAGTGAAGAAGAACCGCAAGTTGAGTTGAAGAAGAAGAGGCTCCCCTGTGGAGAGAGGCAGGAACAAATATACATACATACGAGTACATTTAACTAATGATTAAATATGATATGATACATATTTACATACATACATACATATATATACGCATAGACTATATACAACAAAATTCGCATTCAAGCCAATCCTCCTGGGCGACCATATACTTCCAGTTCCAGCTAAAATTCCCACACGCCACCCTTCCACATTCCCACATTTCCAGTGATAGACTCTATGCCGTTAACCATCTTTCGACTGTTCTACTAGCTACTATCTACTATTCGATTGTCCCATTTCTTTCAGTGTTTTGATGTCCATAGAAGCATATATGCGATAAATATCAGTGTAAACTTAAAGCAAACCAAAGACCAAGAGAGATCTACTCCTACATATTTTGCGTATATGGGGGGGCCCGCCCCATGTGGCATATATAAATATAAAAGTACTTAACAAGCACAAGAACTTAGCATTAGACCACAGGAAAATTCCCTAAAAGATGGAGAAACATTTCGTAATTTTACTTTTTCGCCCATCCCCTTGCTACTATGCGTACACGTAATGCGTACTTCCTATTGCTATCTATTATCCTTAATAAAAAAAAAAACAATGCATACTAACAATAACTACACCAACCACATACTTTAGCTACACCAGATATGTAGTTAGCCCATTACTTGCCTATGTTTTTTTTTTCTCTCCGAGGGCTTTGCTTTATTCTGTTCGAGGAGAGAGCGAGAGAGTTACCGGAAGTTAAACTGTTTCCTAATGTTCCAAAGATTGCTTTAACTCTCACAAAAACACACACAACACACATACATACATGCGTACCTCTTGCTTTACAAAAAAATAAAAATAAAAATAAAAAGAAAAAGTACATATATTAAACGAACAAAATTTACCAAAAAAAAACAAATACGAGTATATTAAAACATATTTAAAGAGAGCGCATACAGAGTTGCCTATGTACATACGATATATGTGCTTGGATGGCAATGAATTGTGAGCAAAGGATTACTTTACATACACACGTACAGATACACATACATAGATACAAACACACACCCACACAGAAATGCAAAACTAAAACTCAACTGCAGGTTGACACTGTACATTGTACGATAAACGACACTGGCAAATATTGTATGTAGTTTTTGGCAGATATCAGCATCAGAATCGGAACTAGTCGAAACGATAGCTAAGAAATGTTGAGAAATGTGAACGACCCAGCCAGCAAATGGGAGTTTACCGAAACAAGTGTTAACTTTTCCCACGTAAATGATTTATAACTTAAATACAATCAAAGAGAAATACCATTGTATTATTTAGACACTTCCGAGGGGACAACCAGCGCAATCGACAGATCAGAAAATACAAATTACAAGTAACAATCTTAACCAGAAGAAAGCCCCCAACAACAGCTTCGGCATCCACCACCGGAGTGGCCATATCTTTGCATCTCAACTGCAGGGATATGCAATGGCTACACAGATATATACACAATTACACAGATACACTATATAATCACCCCACATACATACATACATACATACATACAAGTACATACGAGTATATACAACAATTTATTTAATTTCAATGGAATACCAGAGATAAATAAAAACCCCATAAAAATGACAAACCCCCTCCCCACACAGACAATGAGGAAGATAATAGCGACAAAAAATACTATGAAAGCAACAACAAGTAAAAAACAAAAAGAAAGAAAGAAAAAAAAAACATGAAAAAACCAACTAAATTGTTATACTGTATTATTATACTTTTTCTATAAATTATAATTTCCTTATTGAACAAACAAAAAAGCGAAAAAAAAGAACATAATAATTAAACAACAATTTCAAAGAAAACAATGATGACTATTAATGGACTTAATGGGTATGTATATTTCATTCAGATAATTCGGGTGCTGAAATCATAAAGTATTACTCACACGCCGTGTGGTACAGCGACACATGACTCTTGGGGGAGCGAGCTCTCCGTTTCGGTGGCGAGTGCCTTCATTATCTTTACAGCCCGACAGAGCATACAATATATTTTAATAATGCAATTAAGTATTTACAGAGCCGCTTAATAAATAACTTAATCTAAAGAGCTGCGCAATGCCCCGCCGTCGCATGCAAACATCAAACGGTGGCATTTAAACAGAACCTTCATCTGGACAAACAAACAAAAACAAACAGACTGACAGGCTGTCGGGGGGTATCATCAGATAGTAGGAGCCAACTTTTAGAGTTTCGCATCGAGCGTCGCGCCAGACTCTTTTTCCTGCTGCAGGTGACTAACCAGCTGACTGTCCTCCTGGCAGAAGCGAACATTGCCAATCACGGGCAGCATTTCCTGCACCTTCAGGCTCATGTTCTGCAGTATCAACAGTACATCGTTCTCGGCCATCTCCTTGCTGACGGCCTTCAGCATCTCAGTAAAGGTGGCATCGAACTGCATGAAGCGGCCACAGTCCAGCACCACGGGAAAGTCGTTGCGGTAAAGCGAACAGGCACCTCTCAACTCGCCGCGGAGCGTGTCCACGCCCGTGTAATAAATGTCCGAGTGGGGCACAACATGCACATAAGTTAGGGATTCATGCTGTAAAGACAGAACGTGTCTTTAGCATGAGGTAAATAAAACATTTCCTTAGCTACAATAGGCTACCTTTTTAAGGGACACTTCTATTTTGGGATTACCCAGGCGCAGCAGAATGAACACCATGCTCAGGACAATGCCAAAGAGCAGGCCCAACTCCACACCAGCCACCAGGCAGATGATGAAGCTGCCCATCCAGCTGAAGAAATCCTTTTTGTTGGTCTGCCACAGCTCCTTCACAGGCGCCAGATCAATCTAGGGTAAATATATATTTATAAAATAAATAAGGGGAATTGGGGACTATACAATGCCAGACAACCCACCATAAATATCACCGCTGCAATGAGTACAGCAGACAGCGAAGCCTTCGGTATGTACTGGAAGTACGGCGTCAGTATGCTCAAAGCGGAGAGGACAATCATTCCCGTGTAGATGCCAGCCATAGGTGTGCGTACGCCCGAGGCCTGACTAACAGCCGAGCGCGTGAATGCGCCACACGTGGGCATTGCACTGAAAAAGGAGCCAGCTATGTTGCACAGGCCCAGCGTCAGCATCTCCTGTGAGGCATCCAGATTGCCATCAGTCACTGCATAGAACCAATCAAATGAGACGAAGTTCGATAGCCATCGAATATTCCGGATACATACCGAAAGCCTTCGCAATTGCCACATTGGCCAGCACGGCCACAATGGGCACAACAACGATGCCGCTGCCCAGCTCGTGGAGTATATCCGTGAAGACATAGGTACGATTCTGGTATTCAAAGGCAAAGGGCGGCAGCTTGAACGAGGGCATGGCCGAGGACACCTTTGAGGAGAGGGCAAAGGGCACCGCTGCCATGGAGCTATTCTTCACCCAGATGAAGACAATCAAACCGGTGAAGAAGACAACCAAGGCGTTGCGCGAGATGCTAATGTACCACAGGACCTTCTTCAGGCGACGCGTCAGCGGGGTGTCCTGCTTGAATTTCACTTGCGAAAGTAGCTGCAGAGCGAAATAAAAGGATTAAGTGAACTCTCCAAACCTGTACAAAACTTACACGCAACGACAGCAGAACAACCATGCAAGAGATGCCCATGGCCGCATCCGAGGGTTTAATGCTGCCAAAGAACTCCCCAAGCGAGGGGAATCCTTTCATGCGAACACCCAAGAGATTCTTGATCTGAGCAAACACAACAATCACAGCCGTGCCGGAAGTGAATGCTTTGGTCACCGGATCCGGAATAAAGCTCACTATGAAGCCCAGCTGAAACACACCCATGGCCAGCTCCACTAGTCCTGCGAGAAAGGCCAGCACGATGACCACCTGAACGGGCTTATCCGCACAGAACTGAAGTGTGAGAATGGCCATCAGGCTGGTGGGTCCAATGGAGACCTGCGGTATCGTGCCGAAGAACACATAGATGATGGATCCAATAAATGCCGAGTACAGGCCGTACTCGGAGGAGAGGCCAGCCAGCGCCGCGTAGGCAATACTTTGTGGTATGATCGTCAGGCCCAGGGTGATGCCTGCTATCAGATCGGCAAAGGCTCGCTCCCGATCGTAGCTCCGTATCCAGCTGAGAATGTAGATGCGACGCAGCAGCCAGTGGGCCTGCTTGGGCTTCGAATACTTCCCCTCCACATCGACGGTGTGGCCTTGGCCGTTTCCCTGGTCGTAAAACTCGTCACCATTCTGCAGCGTATACTTTTCCTTCTCCTCGCAGTTGGCTGAAATGCAGAGACAAGTGGAGTGCTAATCAGTGCAATTTTCCGTGGCAGTTGGATTGATTAGCGGATCCTACGATCGTAAATGGTGGCCACTGTAGCACCCCCAGGCTGGTTATTGGATGCCTTAGATGCTCCATTGCTACTCCGCCACAAGCCGAACGTGTGCTTTCGCGGCCAACGCATTTTGTACTGATTTGTCTGTTTCAGTTTAGGTTTCAGATTCGCCAATGGGCCAAGTACCAGCCGAATTTTGTTTGATTTTTTGCTTAAGGCAAGGGGATTTTTTTTTAGCATTTTAACACGGAACGAGCAGTCCGGCTTGCCGCCCCGAAGCAGAGCCCCGAGCCGAGTCAAGTCGAAACAAAGCGAATAAAAATAACAAAATAAACAATTTAATTGTGTGAAAACGTATTAAAGCACATACTCGTGCGAGTATACATGCATGGATGGGTGTACTCATCTAATAGTTATAAATAACAATCGAGATTCTTTACTTCGATTGAGAGAGGGAATGGAATTATCTATCAGTCTAGTCAGTTGTTTGTTCCGGATGACACGGGAACCAGTTTTCGCTTCCCTTCCTCCACGTGTACCGAGTTGTTATGTAAATATTCATATCGTAGCCCTGATTTTTGCAGCTTATTTTAGATTGTGCACACAAATCAAATAGAGCAAACATAACCAGTAGATACGTGATTAAAATTAACTAGAAAAATTGCAAGCTGAAAATTAGCACATTTTTGGTGCTACGAGTATCAAAAAGACCGATTGACTCCCTTTTTGGAGACTTGTGAGTCACCGCTGACTATAGGAACAATTGATGCAAAGTAGCTGTTAGTTAGCTTTGCCACAAATTGCGCTAAAAGTTTACGCAAATATTTTTCAATAGTTTTAAGCGTACATCACGGATGAATATCTCACGTACCCCTGTGTGTCAGTACATCAAAGTTAAATCGGTTGTGTAAGTTTATTGGGAAAAAATAGATTACCCTTTCTTCATTCATCTAATAATCAAATCACACGACATGTCCGAATAAACTTGCAATGGGAGATACATTTATCACGCATCCAACGCATGGACATGGCATGGCCTGACCTGCCATCGGACTCAAGCAACTGCTTATTAAATTATTAATTTCCAATTTAAGCTGTAATTTAATTTCCAATTTAATCTGTAACTTAATTTCCAATTTAATTTGTAATTTAATCAAACAATTATATGATTTGTTATTATTGTGGTCGATCTGTTTGTATATTCTAAATATTTGTTTGTCAAAGCCGCAATATTATCGGTCATGTTGAAACCAAAATTTAAAAAAAACCAAAAATTAATGTTAATTTGTAACATCAGGCCAATATTTTTAACAGCTTTAGTTGGCCAAATTTTGCAACAGCTGTTCTCTGGCTGCTAATTAATACGGGCGTTCTAGGCAACAGTTATATATAAATTGCACTTGTAAAGTTCTTAGAAGAAAAGCCAAATGTAAAGAAACGATGTATAGGTCAATGTACCTGTTGCACTTTGCACTGCAGGAAACTACACTCCATGCCCTGGAGGTCTGGAGAAAACAATTTATTTTACTGATGAAGGAGCAACTGATGCTCCAAAGTATTGGATGTCTGATATACGAGGGCGGGCTGATAAATAGTCGGTCTACCACACGAAAACCCTTCCAAAAAATAGTATTTGTTGATGTCGTTAAAATGGCCCTTTTTTTGAGAGATGACTTCCTTATTGGACTCAAATCTTTTTCCGCCGAGTCATTTCTTCAGCTTTAAAAAAAACGAGAAGGAACGTGTGAGTCGCTTTTGGGGACGCGGCTCTACTTGTACACATACTCAGTCAGTATATACATTTTTGAGCTTATGATTTTTTTAAATTTTAGAATTTTTTTGCTACATCTGATATCTACATCTACATATACTATGTATATTCTACATCTCCTCCGCTAGATGGCGCTCTCGTACATAACGAGGCAGAGTGTGCGAGCGAGAAAGAGAATGAGCAGCGGTTCTCTTGCTGTAGGAGGCGGGAGAAGCAACTGAAAATGAATTTCTTCATTCTGGCTATAATTATGATCCGATCTGATTCAGTCTGGTAGATATTGTCATTCTCTACGATACTGCGCTTTCAGTTTTATCGTATCTCTAAAATTGTGCCTGCCCAAGATTTTCGTCCTTTGTGGGGCGAAAGGAGGCGGTGTGAAATTTTGAAATACACTTGTAGCAGTGTGATATCACATGAGTCTGGAAACTAAATTTGGTTGCCCTTGCTCTAATAGTCTCTGAGATCCAGGCGACAAAACAAGACGGACGAACGGATAGACGGACAGACGGACAGACAGACTATTGATGCTCGGCTATTGATCCTGATCAAGAATATATATACGTTATGGGGTCGGAAACGTTTCCTTCTCTGCGTTACACACATCCACTTTTACCACAAATCTAATATACCCCTTAAATCTGGTTGAGTACGGGTATAAAAAATAGTCACTAGGGACTAAATTCAGGGAATAGGGTGGGTGAGGGAGCAATTCGAAGCGGACAGCTTTTCCAGACCCAAGTGATCATTCAAAATTGAAACCACGTGGCCATGTGGTAGCCTATGGCTTCCAGAATATCTTGCAATTTCAAGCAGCGATCGGCCCGCACAACTCTACTGGGCGTCCAGGACGTGTGGCATTGTGCTTGTACGGGCACAACGAAATCGAGTAAACCACTTTTTAAAGTATATATATTTGATGATCAAAGCCCCGGGCCGCGGGCCGCGCTAGCCATGGAATTAATTTCAGTGCTCCCCTGCCACACCAACCCGGGGGGGAGGTATAGGTACGGGTTTCCGTTCCATCTAGCTTCCTTGAAATTTGGTTCAGAGCTCATATAGTACTTATCAAGCTTGGTTCCGCAAAACTAAATGCTTAACAAGAAATTCAAAATTTTTCCATTTTGTCTTGAAATGCAAAAGTGACCATGCTAAACCTACCGCCAAAATTACCACGGTTGACCAAACCGACAGAAACTTTCTCAGTAATCATCTGATAGAAAACACTAATCGAATAAAATATTTATGGGTGACTAGAAATGTTTTCTTTTGGTAAGGCCGATTACTTTTCATCCCGCCCTCGTAAGCTTGCGAAAAAGCTATGCCCACCAATAGAGGACATGGAAATAAATTCTGATAAATTATAGACTCTTAAAAAGGATTTCCTTTTCTTCTTCACATTTCACTTGCAAAAACACAATAAATTAACCAGTCCAAAAATGTGTTTAATCCAAGAGAACACTTCTGTAAATCCATAGGGGCCTTCCAATTGGGTGAAATCACTTCTACCTACCATCAAAGGATAACTTCTTTACGATCGACATGCTGCACGTAGCCGTATATCCACTAACAGCGTACGATCAAAGGACATTCAAGTTATTTATCTAAAGGATAGACGCGTACGTGGGATGTTCTGTAACACCCGTGTGGTACCCAAGTGCACCGTTCCGCAATCTAATGAAAACTACCGAATAGGCGAATTTCTGAACGATAAATAAGCTGAGATGGGATGGGTAGATTTTTCTGATAACACACAAAAAAATGAAAAAAGTCAAGAAAACGACGACAAGCAATCCTCTTTCTTTCTGCTCGAGATCAGCGCAACAATGGCATACTTAACGCCCCATTCGGCAGGCAGATGGGCACACAAACATTGCGGCGGAGGCTGGGCCCACAAATTAATACATATATAAATGGATATGTCAACGGCAGCAGCGTCGCAATGGGGAGGAAACTACGACGATGTCGCGGTCCAAGTACGTAGAGGGGGCAGGCAAGGGCGATTCTAGTAGTCTCCACACTGGATCTTGGATTGATAAAAATTTCTGCCTCACTGCGAATCTGATCTGTGGATCTGTGGACCCCAAGTAATTTTCCAGGCATGCAATATTTGGTTTTGAGTTTAGATAGGTTCACGTTCATCTTAATCAAACGGCAACGCCTAGTGACAGTCTTTTGTAAAGCTCTTTGTATTGGGTGAGAAAATAGCTCCCAGCTTTGACTATGATTAGATTTTTGGCCCCAGCCTCCAGCTAGGTGTTAAATACCCCCAGCCTAGAGGGCATATATTACACGACTACATGGGGCGCGTGGGTCTGTCTGGGCAGATATACAGCTACAGCCTGTCGGCGAGATGGCGTCGTAATTAGTATACACGTACTTATCTCATATGCATGTCATCGCGCTGACTTTGAATTGTTTAAAGTGCAAAAGTGGCGGTAAAAAGGAGTTTGGCGGCCCCAAGGTCGTTGGACGTCAGTCGCTTATCTGAGTGTAGGGTAAATATGCGGCGTTTTTGTATCTAGACAGGCCACAGCAGGCAGTCTGAGCTATTAATAGGTACTGTCATGTTTGTGAACTAGACTTGAAACAAATATTTGTGTGCCGTCTGACAGCGTAACTTAGTTTTCCAAGAATTTGTCTTTGGCATTGATCCATTTCAAGAAATATGAGTGCGCGGGAATTCGAAAGTGTTGCAATTATTTCAGGTGTTGAGCAGCGCTGCAGTATCGCCGCCATATCGCCATATCGATATTAATTCTGCCGATAGATAGTCTATGGCACAGATGTGTATCGAATATATCGAGTATATCCCAACAGGAGCCGCTTCGACCAGGGCTACCGTTTAGAGTCTCTCACGTTTTCGTGGTTGGGATTTTCATCGCAGCAATGTTCCTACATTCCCACTTACGTTTTTTACTGTTGACAGTTGTATGAATATCAAATCCAGTAATATGATTTCCGATCATCGACAGAGAACGATTAGCCTATTGTTGACCAGTGGGTATTTATATACAAACACCAAAATGATGAAACTGAAAGTATTTTAACGCAGTTCAGCTGAAAGATATTGTGGTAATTTTTTTCTTGTAAGGAAATGAAACAAGGAACATTTACAATCAGCATTATTTTCTGCGGTCGAACTAAAGTTGTTCAGCTGTCGAAATATAGGGGGTTGAGTGGGCTAAGTTCGTTTTTTTACTGAGTATTCGAATGTGCTATAGCTCTGTGTTGAGCAGCGCTGCAGTATCGCCTTTATCGATATTAACTCTATCGCACAGCTGCTTATCGAGCATATCGAGTATTCGCCATTTCGGTCGTACAAAACACCCCCCTCTTCGAATAAAAAGTTAATAAATTAATTAAATACTTTTTCAATTAAACTAAATTCAACGTTAATTGTTCTCGTCGCAGTGGTCGGTGTTCGCAAGTGGTTGAAATAAGCAATGGTAACTAGGGATGGTAAAATATCGACATCGAAATCCAACCTTGTCAACGTTATCGCTCTCGTACGCAGGGAAAAAATAAATTTAGCAACAAAAGCATATTTAGCAGCCAAGTAACCGTGCTGAACGCCGACAATATTGCTTTTTTTGGCCAGAAAACGTGTTAAAAGTGCGCGAATATATCAATAAATTAGCCCAAGCAAAGGAAAAAGGCAAAGTTTCGTGCGTATCATCGTTCGTCGACCAGGAGTCTTGGTGCTGGCAATTGGCTTGCGCTCCCCAATCTATTATGAACAACAATAGTAAGCGGAAAACTCGACCTAGTGGAGGAGGTGGCGGTGGCGGAGCCAGCGGCGGCATCTCAAGGTAAGAAGAAGCACCAGCTACAGTGGAAAAGCGAATGCAAAAAAAGACAAAAGCCAAGCGACAGACACAAGACAAGGAAAAAAAAAAAAACGATACGAAGCGCAAGAAAAAAAACACACACACATACACTCACACTAGCAAGTGTAATCGGTCGGTTGTGTGGGGCTGGTTTGCGTTTCGCTGCTGCTGCTTGCTTGCCGTTGCCCTGACAAATTGAAAACCCGCGACGACTAAAAACGCCACTGAAAGAAAGAGCGCTCTCCCGGTCCGGTCGAGAAAGGTGAAAGCGCGTCTCGTGTCTGTTTCGTGGTGGCTGCTTTTGTTTTTGTTATTCTAGTGGCTGCAGCTAAATCAAAGCAACTCAAATCGAGGAATTCCATTCCCGTTCCGTATTGTCTGAAATCATTCTGAATTTTTGGAGACCAAATCGTAAATGCAAATGGCGCTTATATAAGAGGCCCAGCTGTGTGCTTGTGTGTGCGTCAATCAGTGTGTGTGTGTGTTGTTCATTGGTGTGCGTTTATCGGTGTTAGACTGCGTGTATGGTATGTGTGGTTTCAGCATCAGATTTTTATGCTTTGTTTACATTTCCCTTTCGCCAGAAAAAATGAGTACAAAAACATAATTTGTTTAAAGGTTTCCGTTGTCGCATTAGTGGCTCATGTTGCCTCGCCTGCTCGCTTGCTCGCACCCCCAAACAGTTGGACCCAGTTCCTCCTCGTGCCGCGCCCGACACTGCTGCGCCCTTAAAATTTTTCAATTGAAATATGACTGCAGCTCGGCGCGCACACAACCACACACATCCGCATTTGTGCACAGTTCCGGGCTTAAGTATTGGCACGGCTCTATAGCTCTCTCTCTCGCTCTTCTCTGGAACATGAATAAATGTTTAAAGCTGAAAGAATGGGATTCACAGAGTTAAACATTTTCAGTCGTGCCAATACTTATCGCCATAACTGTTTATGGTACACCATCATTATTTATTTATTCACCAACACACATGCATATGTATAATTGTGAGCACTGTGGTGGGGCCTGGGCCTCAGTCGTCCCACTGTGCGGCCTGGCGAGGGCCGCCAGTGATGCACGCACACGAGCGCACGTATTGTACTATGGTTTATTTTTTATTTTTTCATAGTTTGCCTCTTTTTTTTTTCGACTGCATTTTCTTGCATAGTCAGCATTTTGCAGTTTTGCCCGTTGCCATTGCTGTGACGTGCAGCGGCTGCGCTGCGCCGAGTTTCTTTTGGCACACTTCGTCTCCCCCTTCGGCCAGCCTCTGCCCCAGCCCCTCCCTGATGGTGTGTTCCGCTGGGCGCTCAAAATTTGGGTCACTTTACAATTTGCTGACCGAACGATACATCGCTCTTGTTTTCCATTCTACTTCTATGCATATTTATCCGCTATTCTGCCATGCACACTTGCCTTTCGAGTGTGTGCCTCTGTGCCTTCGTTTCGCTTCAGCCTATTTCTGAGAGCAGCTCTTGCTCTTAACTGTTCTCTCGCTCACCTTATCGCCACGCATGATTCACTCTTTAAACGCAATCAATTATTTGTATTCATTCACGAAAATGTGCACAATGCACGCTCTGTGAATCAGCCTCCCTCCCTCCCCATCCCTTCCCTGCGACTGCACACCCACGCCCGTTGCTGTTGCTGTTGTTGTGTGCGTGGCCGGGTTCATTGTGCGTTTCGTTGCGCATTTCACGGTCGTCGATCCTGCACGCAACCAACACCAACACAACCAAGTCCATCCCCCCCCCCAAAAAAAAAAACAAACGTCCATCCGAACGCCACTGAAAACAGAGCTGAACCGTAATTAAATAGGTCCGAGACAGAGGCAGAGTCAGCAAAACGCCTCGCTTAAAAAAAAAATCATAAATTTTTCTGAGAATTTTACAGTAATTACTCACTTTTTCAAACACAAGCCACAAGCAAAACGTAAACAAAGAGCGGAGAACCAGATACTCTGAACCCCCAAAATCGGAATCAGTCCCAGAGGTGATTCCATTTTGATTCTTTGGCCACACTGCAGTTTCGTACGGCAGCAGCTGGTTGCAAATTCTTGTGAGAAATCCATTTAATTCGTAATAAAAATCAATTTAAGAAGCACTACGAGCGTTTTTAATTTGTTGGAAACCCTCTCGGTGAATTCCATAATTCGTTTAGTCCCAATAGCGCGTATCGGTAAGTTCTAAAAAAGCGAACTAAAATGCACACACACACATACCACATACACTTACCGCACCATTGTGGGGGTGGGTCTTCGCAAGGGGCGCGAGGGTCGTTGGAGTTTTCCTACAACGAAACAAACGAATCGATATCGCTGACGTCCCTGAAACGCTTTTCGCTTTGTCTTTGGCCTGGCTATTGGCTATCACTCTCGCATATTGGCAGCCCGAGCCGGGAGACGTTGATGCTTGTGAATAATTTGTTCCATGCCATTCCATACCTATCATTCCGTTCCATTCCAGATACAACGCCAACGACAACAGTCTGAGACCAGCGAACAATAAGTCAGGTGCGGGTGGAAACGGTGCAGGAGCAGGAGGACCAGCAACAATTCGACCGGTGGCGCAGGGCGTCTATAATAACACGTTTTTCATGCACTCGGCTACGGCGCTGGTGGGCAGCGTTGTGGAGGTGGTCCTGCGTTCGGGTAATATCTACGAAGGCGTATTCCGTACATTCTCGGGCAATTTTGACATCGCACTGGAGCTACCGGCGTGCATTAAGTCCAAGAATCTTCCGGAAGAGGGCAAGGTGCCAAAACACATTATATTCCCGGCCGACACTGTGGTTAAAATCGTGGCGAAGGACTTTGATTCGCAGTACGCCACCGCTGGCGCTTTTCAGACCGATGGAGCCATCTCTGACAAGTGCAATGGTAATGTCCAGTTGGATCTTTAAAATTTCCCCCTCTCCAGTACTTATCATCTTATGATCTTTGGTGCAGGTGCGCGTTTGGACGAGAAGGAGCTGGAGCCATGGGACTCTGGCGCCAATGGAGACGTTGATATAGAGCTGGATGGCGCTGCCAATGGCTGGGATGCCAATGAGATGTTCCGCAAAAATGAGCATACATTCGGGGTAACTTCCACTTTCGACGACTCTCTGGCCACGTACACGATCCCATTGGACAAGGGGGATACGCTGGAGTTCAAGGAGGCCGAAGCAAAGGCTGAAAAGCTGGCAGCCGAAATTGAAAACAATCCGACGTGCCGCGACCGTCTGGACTTGGAGAATGGTGACGAGGAGGCGCTCTTTGCTGCTGTCGAGCGCCCGGAGCAGGACCATCGCCGCGATGGTGACAGGGAGCAGCGCGAGCGCAATGATCGCGACAGGGAGCGTGAGGAGCGCGACAGGGACCGTGACCGTGATCGTGGCAACAAGACGACGCGTGGCGCTTCTGACTTCCAGCTGCGCGAGACCATGAGCAGCGATCGGTACATTACCAAGCAGACGCGCGGACCGCAGATGTCGCATGTGGGCATGTCCTCGCAGGGTGGCGGCGGCGGCGGTGGTGGTCGCGATCGTGATAATGGTCTTATGATGCCCGGAGTCATTACTGGCGGCGGGGCTGGCCAGGGCGGCGCTACGCAGTCGGCTGCAGTTCTATTGCTTGCAGGCGGCCTGAAGACCTCTGGGCCAGCCTCGTCCGCCAATGCGGCCGGCATGGATGCCTCCGGCAAGTATTCGATGGTTAAGCGCAAGACTGTACCCCAAGGGGGCAAAGTAATGCGCGGAAATGTGCCCCCCAGCAGTGGCGGCAATATCTCTGGTGTCCAAGGTGGCGGCGGCAACGGCAATCCTGTGGGCCAGAGCAAGGGCGGCTATCAGCCCACCATGGTCATGCAGAACCAGTATGCCTATCAGGGCAACTCGCAAATAATTCACGGGTAAGCAACGGCAGCAACATGGCCCCACATCAATATTAATGTATTATTTTGGCCCGCGACAGGTCCTCTCAATACCGCAACCCATCTCACATGAGCGGCGGCCCCTCCAAGTTGAACGGCGACTCGAACGCCAATACCAATAAGCCGCTGCCCCAGCGACAGATACGCCAGTACCAAGGCTCTCAAAGCAATTCGCTCAACTATGGAGGAGATCCGCAGCCGATGGGCAAGCCCATGCATAGCTCCCATGGCGGTCATCCTGGCCAAAATAGCAACTCACCGCCGCTGCAGACGGGTGGGCAGCCGCAACAACAGCAACAACAGCAGCAGCAGCAACCGCCGCAACAGCAGCACCAGAATATGGCGCCACAGGGGCAGCCGCAACCCCAGCCGCAACCCCAGCCGCAACGTCAGATGCGGTCTCGCGATAATCAGCTACAGGATGTGCGACAGGATCTGCGACAGTTTAGCCAGGACTTCCAGCTGGCTCCAACAAATAATTCACCGCCACAGCAGCCGCCGCAGCAGCAGCAACAGCAGCAGGTGCAGGTTCAGGTGCAGCAGCAGCAACAGCGTGCTCTTCTGCAATCGGCCTCGCCGCCACAGCAGCAGCAGCAGCAACAACAGCAACACGTGCCCATGCAGCACCAAGTGCCACCGGCTCATCTGCATCAGGCGCCTCTATCACAGCCACACTATGTGCCTCAACAGCAGCAACAGCCGCCGCCTCCCCAACAGCAGCAGCCGCAGCAGCATGTACCGTTGCACTTGCAACAGAAAGCTCAGCAGCCGCCACAGCAGCAGCAGCAGCAGCTGGTGGAGGCCCAGCACCAGCTTGTGCCTAAACAGCATCAACAGCCACCAGCGCAACAGCAGCAGCCACAGCTGGCGCCGGAGCCATCTCAGCCGCAGCCTATATACCATCCAATGCCACCGCCACAGACGTCTCCGGTGGTGATCACCTCGCCGGTCCTGCTGGAGGCGCCGCCGCCACAGATTCTGACGGCCCAACAGCCGCAGCAGCCCCAACTGGCGGCCACACCCAAGCCAGATGCCTCGCCGGCACCTGGCAGCAACACGACAACTCCCACTGGCATAGCCAGTACGCCCACGACGGCGGCTGCCTCCAGTGCTGGGTCCGAGAAGTCCACGCCTGCTGCTGCATCGAGTGGTGCCACTAGTGGAACCGCAGCCCCTGCTGTTGGGGCAGCTGGTGGGGCTGCTGGTGCCAGCGGAAGTACGCCTGTGGTGAAGAAACCGCATGTGCTCAATCCTTCGGCCAAGCCGTTTACTCCCAGGGCTGGGGCCGGCACGCCCAATCCCTCGCGACCCCATACCCCACAGACGCCGGTGCCGATGCAGGGCATTTATACGACCACGGGCGCACATGTACCGCCGGCGGCCAATCAGTCCATTTACGTTGTGCAGCAGCAGCATCCATTCCCGCAACCCACACACCCACAGGCCGGACAGCCACCGCGCCTTCGTCGCAATAATTATGGTGAGTACAGCCACGGCTACGGCCTACGGCCTGGATGCTGAGTTTTCTTGGAATAATAATCGAAACGAATCCATAATCTTATTACGCAGCCCCAATGAGCGCATCGCAGATGCATGTCTCGGCAACTACGGCCACTGGACAGCCACTGATGGCCGCCGGTCCCATGCCGCAGTTCATCCAATACCCGCACGCACCACAAACACATTTCCAATCACAGGGATATACGCACATGCCGATGCGATTGTATCCGGAGCAACAGCAGCTGCAGTTCCTGACACAGACGCCACAGTCGACCACGCCATCGCCAGGACAGCCGCATCAGCCGTTCCATCCGCCACCACAGCCCTCCCCTGCCGGCGGGGGACCACAGCAGGCATACACGCCGACCACACCGCACACATACCAGTTTATGTGCCTGCATTCCCCACATGTCATACCCAATCCATATTTCCCAACGCAGCCAACGCCACAGCATGCGCAGCAAAATCCACAGTATCAGATCGTGATGCAGCAGCATCATGCACAGTGAGGATGCCACCCCAACAGCAACAACAACAGCAGCAGTAGCAGCAGTGGTAATGGGGGGCGGCAGGCATTGTCGCTGTAAGGAACGGAATCTGCACTGTACGGGCAGCCACATCCAGTCATCAACAAGCCACATTTACACACCACATAGCCACACCAGCATAAAAAAATCGCTAAACCACCATCATAACCGCATTCAACATTTGAGTAGGCGCGCGCGCGGCTTTTGTAGTCGCTCCAAGCGATCCCCACACACACAACACATCCCCCATTCACCCATCCACCCATCCCATACAACACAATTATATGCCATGTGCAGGAGCGGTTCATTCTGTAGCACATCTCACAGACAGACAACAAAAACAACAACAACTAGGAAATTATAAAATACAATTAAAACAAAAAAGGAAACTAGTAAATTTTGAAATTGCAAGACTTCTACAGCGCACGGAAGCCAACAAACAACAACAAGAACATCAATGAACAACAACAAACACCAAACGTATAGAAACTACAAAAAACAAAACAAAAAAAAAAACAAAGTAATAGAGAGGAAAAAAGTAAAAGCTAAAAGCAGCATTCGAAGAACCCCAAAATTATTATTTAACAACAAGTGTATAATGAAAGCAATGAGCGAACGTTTTGTAAGGAGCGTTTCCCAGCCCCGCCCCCGCCCTTAGGCAACTTCCAAATCTGATGATTGGCTATCAAAAAATAATAATAAGAAAAATAAATCGAAAATCGATTAGCAAAGCGAAAAGAAGTCAAATCAAAAGTTGTGCAAAGTGAAAATTAGAAGCAAAAAAAAAGTCGAATTAGGACGGAGGAGGAGCTACATTTTGTAAACATTGTTTTAAACATTATCCTTAGATTCCACCTTTTGCTATCCAATAGTTTTATCCGATTTGGCAAGCCTCACAATACATATACAACACACACACCCCCCATGCACACACACACGCCACAAAATTCGCCCCACGGAAGAAGAAACAAAGCGACATGCAGTCACACAAAAACCCAAAAGTCATCATTCCAAGTTGAGTTATCCAAATGTGCAGGCAGGTGGCGACTGACCTGAGCAGTCCAGTCCCACACCCCCCGTAGATGAATGGATGGAAGTCGAAAAACCCTTTTGCTTGCACTGCGGGAAATGAAAAAAAAAACGAATGTGAATTTTCTAAAAAAAAAAAAGAGCAATACATTTTTATTTTTCCCCCTTCCCCACATATTTTCTGTAAAACTAATTAATTTGATAGAAATTGAATTTTGTTTTTCACATATTTTTTGGCCTTTGTTTTGCACTTAATTCTATAGCATTTATTGGTCATATTTTGAAAAGTGTGTTTCAATTATAATTTTGGATACAATTTTCCTTGGCCACTTTTACAGTGTATGTATGTAGAGGGGGGGCAGGATATAGGATCTTGTGTCTCTGGCTTCTTTCTGGGTTTTGAGTGCCTCCGTTGTCCTTTTTAAAAACAGGAATAAGAACAAACCGTATTAAAATCCTTTGCCCTTCATCCAACAAACAGTTCGATTATAATTCGTATGATCAATAAGCATCTGTTGTGGTCTGTTTTTTGTTTTGTAAACCTTCAAGTTTCCTTAAATGAAAAAAAAAACAAGATTATAAAAAGTAACAATTATTATAAATTTAAATAAAAACAAAAACTAAAAAAAAAAAACGAGAAAAAACAAAAAAAAAACCAAAAAATATAAAAGATGTGTGTATGTATCCATTTTGGCCGGTTATTTTTAGCTGTGGGGGACCCTCATCCTCCAGAGAAGTGGAGTGGATCTGAAAATAATGATTTTGTCATGGAGGGCATTTCATGTTGAGATTTCTTTACCCAAACTCGTCAAAATGGCTGTGATATGATTAAGTGTACATAAGGTCACAAACATTTTAACGACATGGTATAAGAAAGATGCTTTCCATTCACTGTGTGTTGACCTGCTCTCTGCACTCTGCCCTCTGCCCTGCCCCGATCGATGCTGCGTCGTCGCTGCCCATACACACGAAACTCATCAAAATGGCTGTGATATGATTTGATAATGCAACATTTCACAACCGTTTGATGGGTTACGTAAGTATGGGATGACGAGTTTCTCTTCTCTGAATGTATGAACCGAACACTTGTTGGGCACATGGGGCTCTGGGGCTGGGGCTGGGGCTGGGCCGTATCCGCACTTAGGCAGGATACAAATAGATATATTTTTGTGACGCGAAACTGCAATCGATGCTCATTGCAATGCCCATCAAAGCTGGCTGTGATACGCTTCAAATGCAAATATATCTTTCTTCAGCCATTTTTGATGACACTGAAAGTAAGGATACCAAGTGCCGACACGCACACACACACACACACGCACACGCGCCTGAATGTTGGCATCATTTCACCGAGCGGAGCGGAGCCGGACTTCAATGCAATTCACGTAACTGTGGCGGCGGCGGCGGCAATCTGCGGCTACGTAAAGGCGATTTTGGGCGTAATAACGCCATTTACATACGGCATAACGCACTACGTAAAGTAAATAACGTAACACATAAGCGGCTTTCCTTTGTATATGTGTATGCTATGCATGCATGCGGAGTGGCTGTGGGTGTGTGTGTGGGTTGTATCCTGCTGTAGTTTTTCCTATTTCCGGCCTTTCAAATTATTCGTCTTATTCGTCGGGGGAGGTTGCCCGGGGGGAACTGGAGCCTGAATTCGAGTGAACTACAGGATTAAATTAGTCTGTGTCTGTGTGTGTGTGTGTGTGTAGCGTGTGTATGTATGCGCGCGTGTCCGAATGCGCGGCTCGCGCAGGACTCCTGGCGTTATCCTTCTCCGCTCCGGCTTGCTTCTCGCGATATTTCTTACGTTTCAGTTTTATTTTTTCTGTATCCTTCTTTGTGTTCTGTAGGTTAAGTAGCCGAAATATGTACGTTGCATGTTGCACATGCTGCCCGCGATGTGTGTACGCATGCATGCTCTCCCATGTGTGTGTGTGTGTGTGCGTAAGTGAGTGCAACGCCAGCGTTGACTGCGACTGCGACCACCGCCCTCTGCTGCCGGCCGCTATAATGTCTGCCATCCAGTCTAACTGCTGTATTGCCTGTTGTCTGTACGTCTCTACGATGTCTGGTGTACCGTACGTTTGCCGGAGTGCGTCCATATGATGTGTGTGTGTGTGTGTGTGCGTGTACGGCACGGAGTGTTCACCCTTAACATGCCCTTCCCAGGACCAGACGACGGCAACAACCACCACTCCACTCACTCTCTCTCTCTCTCTCAGTCCGTTCCCCATGCGGAGAGTATGACGGGGGAAGAACGAAGAATTTTTCAAAATTCAATTTGGGCAGAGTGAGGAAAGGAGCCGCGGGGCATGTTCATTATCCAAAATATTTGGTAACATTTCTACTATGAGGAGTATTCACTGTTATTCCATTCGATAGTACTTGATTTGCTGCGCATTTATGTATCTGTATCCCTATGTACAGCAAGGGTGTTTCCCCAGTCGGGCTGATTGATTTGTGGCCAGAGTCGGGTTTGTTGTTGCCGCGTCTGCTGCAGTTTTTGCAGTCGTCCAAATAGTACAATACTCCTCGTACACATACAGACAAATATAAATATGTATGTACATACATATGTATGTAAGCAGGCGAACGACCGACCATCCCTTATTTTCCTTCTTCCTGGCACTCTTTCTCTACACGCCATCTGCTATGTGTGTCCTTATGCCATGCCTGTGTGTGCGTGTGTATTACTACAATCGCAGACGGACTTTTGGGCTTGCCGTTGCCGTTGCCGATGCCAGCCACCCTTCTACCAAACAGCAACCTCATCATCATCATCATCGTACGGTACGGTACGGGTCCTTCCTGGCTCTCTCTCTCTTTTATCGTCCTCGTCCTGCTGCTAGTCGGCATTTGTCGTGTGTATACCGAAATTCGTAAAATTCATTTATGGCTAGGGCTGATTGTTGTTGCTGCTGCCTCTGCCACGGCTGACGCTGCTGCTGCCTCTGTCGCTGCCTCTGCCTCTGCTTTTGCTTTGTTCCTGTTTCAGGGCGACGGCCGCCGACGCCGTCTTCACCTTCACTGCCGCAGACTTTTTTTTTTTGGGGTGTTCCGCCCAATTTCAAGATAGATTTAATGCGCTTTTAATTGAGGGAATCATTGAACTCTACTCTCTTTCGAATACAGGCTCCTTCCTACCACCATCCCATGGGGTGCTCCTATGGACAATGTGGCAGCGTGTCCTGCCATGGCCAAAACGTTCCTCCTGTATCCGATTTCCTGGGCATCTCTTCTGTATCCTGTGGACACGCATATTGTGCCATATACAAACTTTTCACATCCGCTCCATGTATGCTGGATCCACCGGACAGCACGCCAGGGCCGGGCCAGCCTTTTGCGCAGTTTCGAAGGGCCGCAAAACAATGGAGAAAGGAAAGTCGTGGAAAAAAAACGCTCTATCGCAGAAATTTTCACCATTTCACTCGAGTTTTTCACAGCTTAAGCCAATTCCTACGCCATTTTCGTGCACACTTCTTGGAACGCTGCGACCTTTTCGATTTTTGGCATAATTATTTATTTATTTATTGTGCATTTTACCGTTCGATTAGCAATAATTTATTAACCGGTTTTTCTCGTGACGTTTTCGCCTTTTTACAACCACACAGAGAACGGAACGACGGGACCAACCATCGTGGAAATATTCAAAAGGATGGTTTGGTTGTTTTCCACCCTCTCTCTCTCGCTTCGCACTCTCTCCTCGGCGTAAAATGCACTTGGGAGCGCAAGGTATAACATTATTGGTAAGCGGCGCGGCCTCATTTTGCAGGATATAATTACATCAATGCTTATTTCGGATATTTATGTACCACCAAGAGCATACACAAATATAAATATGCAAGGATAATTTACTAGGAGCTGAATTGATGGTAACTAAAAGTAAAGGCAGAGATATATGCACCCAATCATTTATTCTACCTTGCGGCCAACTGCCGCGCCAGGACCTTTCCCTCTTTTTCGGTGCTCTCTCGGCCCTGCCTTCGTCCTTCGTGTGTAGTTTTCAATTACAACTGCCCGAATGGGTGCGCGCGCGAAAAAAGGGCAAAAAAAGGCGCGCCCCCGCCCTCCGACCGACGAAATACACAAAATGTATTCCGTTTTTGTTTCTTCCATTTTCACTTTCGACAGAACTGCGCTGACGCATTGAGAGAGTGCCAGGGAGCCTCTCACTCATACCAGCAGAGGCACACCACACACACACACACACATCAGTGTTCGCAGAGAGCGCGTATGGGAACTGTACAATGCCGAAGGAGATCAATGCACGGACAGGATTCGTTCAACCTCTAGAAAGTCACAATGTAACGGAAGGAACTTCCTCATTTCTCTCTCGCTCTCACTCTCTTTCTCCCCGAGACTTCGGTTAGCTCTCTTCTCTTATCTTCTGATCGGTATTAATTCTTTTAATCGAAGTCGCTTTTAATATTTGATACTTATGAGAGTAACAGTACACAAGAGTATCTTGCTTAAACACTAAAAAAAAAAACACAATAATTTATTACAAAAATGTGTGTTCGTATGGTTAGGTATTTTTTAAAGTATGTATTTATTTGTTTTGATGCAGGTGGAGTAAAATTAATTAAATATCCACGTGGCTAAATGCTTACCATATCATGACCCTAATCGGACAAAACCCAGCCAAAATCATCACAAATCAAATTGAATGTGTCGGGTTTCTTTATTCATTCATTCATTCTTTTACAATAAAAAAATGTTCAACAGCAAAAAATATTACACAAATTTTTAAAATGTAAATAAATTGAATAAATATTGTACGAATTACGCTGTGCACGGTGCACGGTCGAGTTGGTTCTGATTCTGATTCTGTGAGGTGGCAGGCAGAAGGGGCAGCGCGATTATTTCCCTAATCGATGGATGCGTTGGATGTGCCTGCCAAATGGGACATATACATATGTATGGGGACGTCGTGCATTTGTTCGAGCAAAGGTAAGGGAAGGTTCCGTTTCAGCCACATTTGGGGCACATGTAAAACAATTAACAAGATGCGGGAACCGTTTCCAGGTGAAGGTTACTCGCTGGTAACTCTGAATCAAGTCTGGGCTGTACTTCAAAAAGGTCTTGGCAAGTTAAAACTAAAAACGAGATACACATATTGTTCCTTTTTCTTTAGTTGATGTTTTTTTTCCTTTGTAGATGGCATCGCATGTTCAAATGGTGAATTGGGTCTGAACACTGCCGATGGATGTCATTCTTTTATAGTATATAAATTATGGTGCAGATTAGATGCAGTTATGCGAATGTGTGTGTGTGTTTGTGTGTGTGTGTGTGTGTGTGTGTGGGGTATGGGTATGCATGCGTGTGATTGGTGTTGAGATACATTCATAGTACGATATACATATATATGTAAATATGTATAAATAATGTAAGAACTGAAGCTGAAAATCGAAAGGCATATACAACAACATACACTGCCTCTCTACACATATCGTAAGAGTAATCATCGATATTAATATATGTTTAACATGAGCTTAACACGTATTGCAACAGGGCCAGAGTTTCCAAAAGTGCTAACAATAAATTTGTAATTTCATCAGCGTTTCTTTTTGGGAGCTACTACGATACGATACGATATACGATACGATATACGATGATGATTCCGTGAGTCTTAGCTGCTAAGGGGATTTGAAAATGGTGTGCTGGGGCTGTTGGTTGAGGGGAGGAGGGGAAGTGCTAGGCCTACCAAAAAACTAACCAATGTATTGTATTGTATTTATGTATGTGGGATGTGGGTCGAGGGGCGTGGGGTGTCATTATAATTACATTAACGATATTAAATGGTATAATAAATAACTATAATTAGCATACAATACATAGATCCCTCTCTATATATCGATATATGTATTTGTATGGATGTGTGGATGTGTGGTCTCCCTCTATGTTTAATGTTTAATCAAATGCATACTCCATCTTCCCTCCTGGGAAGATCCCTCCTACTATATATCCCCAGCTGATGCCTGGGGCTGTGTAAAAGCCTAACTATATTCCGCCGCTGCTGCTGCTGCTGCTGCTGCTGCTGCTGCTGATTAGCGACTGTCATTCAGCATTTTTGATCTCTGAGCTGAGATTGCGGCAGGCTTCACGCTCTCGCTCCCGTTCACGTTCCCTTTCCCGCTCGCGCTGCTCCTCCTCCAGTTTGAGGACCTTGCTCTTCAGACCACATAAAATCTCAGCGGTGGCTATGTTCTTGATGGTGCTCAGGTCCAGATGCTGGCTATGATTGTTGTTGTTGTTGTCATCGTTGTCGTGCTCCCCATGGCTGTTGCTGTTGCTGTTCTTCTTGTGATGTTCCGCTTCCTGCTCCTCCGCATGTTGCTGCTGCTGCTGTTGCTGCTGCTCCAGTTCCAGGCTACGATTGATCGCACTGAGCAGCTTGTGCTTGCCCAGAGCCAAAGCTATGCCATTGTTGTTGCTGCCGGTGTCGCCACAAAGCTTGCCACCGCTTCCGCCTCCCCGCCGCCGCTGCTGCTGTTGTTGTTGTTCGAATCCGTTTCCATGTTCATAGCGCGGCTGTTGTTGTTGTCGTCGTACTTGCGCTCATAGCCGGAGAGCTCCTCGTCATGGCCATTGTTCTGGGTGGCCTCGCCCGATAGGTCGTGCTCCACTTCGCGTTTTATCAGCTGTATGTCCGGCGTGGGCGTGTGTGTGGGCGTTGGTATGGGTGTTGCTGTTGCTGTGGGTGTGGGCGTTGAGCGTGTTGTGGGGGTTTGTGGGCGGGCCCGGCTGCCATTTGCATTCGGGATTTGTACGAGATTCAAGGCTTCTTCATCATCATCATCATCATTATTATTGTGGCAGTTGTTGCTGCCACTGCCACTGCTGGTGTTGTTGTTGTTGTTGTTGCTGTTGTTGTTGCTGCCACTGTTGGTCAAATGATGACTCTCCACGAGGCGTATCTTGAAACTATTGTTGTGCGTGGCTGGCGGCGGTGTCTGTGGCACGATTGTCGTAATGGGCTCCATAATGTTGCTGCTGTCCTGCTGGCTGTGGGCGTGGGCGTGGGCGTGGCTGTGATTATTGTTGAGCGCATCGTCATGCTGCTCGGCACTCGGATACCGCTCCCGCTCCATCTCCTTCAGTCGCTTCTCCCCACCCAGCTCCGTGCTGTAGTGCATCAGAATCTTGCGCTTGGCCAGATACTTGTGCTGCTTGCGGGCCGAGTCCAGCATCTTCTTGCTGTTCGCCTGCAGGATGGCAAAGGAGTTGCCCTCGGATTCCGTCAGATTGATGCTGCCCCCGTTGCTGCTGTTGCCGCTGCCGCCTCCCAGGCTGTTGAAGTTGCTGCTGCCGCTGTTGTTGTTGTTGTTGCGATTGAGATTCTTGATGAAGGTCTCCGCCAGCGTTGCCTTCGATTTGATGTGCTCCCGGAAGCCGGCATAGCTGGCTGCACCACCTCCCCCACCGCCGCCGCTGGACAGTGGTGTGGGGCAGCGGTTGGGGCCATTGAGGGACGGTGACGGCGACGACGACGACGACTGATGCTGCGGCTGTCCGCCATAGCCAGCAGCATGGCCGCTGGTTATATTGACGCTGTGTGTGCCCCGCTCATACCGGCACTCGGTGCCGTCGCTCTCATGCGGCGAACTAATGTCACTGGCATCGCTGTCCAGGTTCTTCTGCAAGTGAAAGTTTCATTTGCATTTACATTTAGATACAAGATACAGATAATGATGGTCCCAGACCCCCGGATAACCAAACCCCATACCTACCTCTGTGTGCAGACCCTTGATCTTCATGGCCTCGGCCACCTTGAGGAACACCGGCAGATCCTCGTATTTAACGTTCACCTGGCCGCTGTACATAAAGTCGAGCAGTCCAGCCATATGACTGGCCTCCACGTCGGCCATCAGCAGAATGGGATGACTCGATGGATTCTCCAGGAAGATTTGCTGGAAGTACGGACTGCAAACGGACAGAACCTGCAACGACAAGAGAACAGAAATAAAGGGGGAGAAAGGGGGAGAAAGAAAGAGAGAGAAGGGAAGGGCATGTGTGAGTGCGGGAGTTCTTGGGAGTGCGCCGCCTGTTTACCAGTTTGTGGGCCTTGAATATCTTGCCGCCGGCTGCAATGGTCACATCCACCATTTTCTCGTCCTTCTGCAGGGAGTGGAAGCCGCGGCACATGTTGCCATGGAAGTTGTTCCACGACAGCAGATACTGGTCGATGGTGTTGGGATCTGTGTACGGCTGCTGCTGTTGCTGCTGCTTGTGCGTCTGCTGGTGCTGGTGCTGCTGCTGGTGCTGCTGGTGGAGCTGCTGCTGTGCAGCCTGATGCTGTGTGGCCGTAATGTGAATCTGCTGCGCCGTGGTGGGCGGCGAGCTGGGACGCGGCGTGGACGTTTGATGGGGATGAGCGAGCTGATGGTGATGCTGCTGCTGCTGCTGCTGCTGTTGCTGCTGTTGCTGATGCTGTTGCTGCTGCTGCTGCAGCTGATGCTGCAGATGTTGCTGTTGCAGCAAGTGCTGCTGCTGCTGTTGCAGGGCATGCTGCAGACCTGGTGGCGTCGACGAGGACGACATGCGGTGTGGATGCGGCGACAAGGCCGGCTGGTGGCTCATGAATCGCTGCTGCTGTGCCTGCTGCTGGGCCTGATGGTGCTGCTGCTGTGCCTGCTGCTGCTGCTGTTGCTGCTGCTGCTGACGTGCATGCTGCTTGATCTTGACCATGTTCTCCTGCTGCTCCTGTTCGCGCTGGCGCATCAGCTCCTGCTTGATCTTGTACTGCTGCATGGACAGATCGTCGACGCTCTTGGACAGCTTCACCATCTCGCTGTTGCTGTTGAACTTGCTGTTCGGCAGCATCGGCTTCAGCTCGTATTTGTAGTCGCCGGCGGCTCCGCTGGCAGCTGCCGCCAGTTTCCGTTCGGCAGCCTGGGCGGCACGCTCCTTCTGCCGCCTGATCAGCTCATCGATGTCCATGTAGGCACCGCTGGTGGCCGCGGCAATGGCCGAGGCGATGATTGGATCATCCTCGAAGACGCTGTCGTCGAGTGTCTCCTTCAGGGTCTTGGTGGACGAGAAGAGACGCAGCGAGGGATCGTTCACCTGGTCGCTGAAGTAGACATCCATCAGGGTGAAGAAGGGCCACTCGCGCCGCTTGGGCTCCTCCGACATTTTGATTGCCTTGTACTCCTGCAGCAGATTGTTCCATTTCTTGATGATCTTCGACAGAGGCAGCGGCACATTGAGCTCCCGTTCGACCACGCTAAAGATCAGACCAGCCAAAGAGAAACAGAAATGGGGAGTTATGCAATCAGATACGGATCTGAGGGGATCTGTCTGTCTGTCTACTTACGCCCAGGCATATTTGGAGGCATTGCGCTTGCCCGTAAATAGGGGCGACAGTTCCGCCCGTAATCTGATCAAAGATTTGACTTTTTCTGCTTCCCCTGCAAGTGAAAAGAAAATGAAAACAGATCAGAAATTGGTTTTCCATTATTGAACAAGAATGTAGGCTGTAGGATAAAATGGGCCTAATGGGCCAGGCAGGGACTGGGTGCAATGATCTGAGCGGCTGCTGCAACTTTCCACCTGCTGCCAAATGCAATTCAAGTTTAGGCCGCCGCTTAAGACCTCTGGCCATATAGCAGCGGCAACAAATTATAGAAAACTGCGCCAAGGTTTCAATGAACCCGAGAGGAGAGTCCAAAGTCGGCACTGGCACTGGCACTGCCACTGGCAGTGGCAGCCATCGGAATCGGGTGGATAATAATCACACAGCAATCATCTGACAGCGGATCGATGGACGTTCGGCCTGTTTGGCCATTCGCGACTAACCGTACCCGTACCCGTACCCGTACCTGTAACCGTATGCCTGATGCCTGATGCCTGATGGCTAATTGCTTGCTATAACGTATCTAGCAACTTTTACCCAAAGACCAAAAATCGAAACTGAAACTGAAAATGTAGCCAAAAGTTAAGCCTAAAACCAGCAGCAACAGCAGCAGCAGGCTCTTGGCTCTCTCATCCATCTTCAGTTGCAGATGAGCATGGCACTGGCACTGGCACTGGCACTGGCTCGAGTGGGCGGGGGGACTCTGCCTGGTTACATGGCTTATAATTATATATATAGTATGTATGTACGTATGTATGTATTGTAGCAGCAGCAACAACAATGTCCATAATGACTGAAAACTATTCAACGTTGAAGAATTCATTAGCAGATTTCACTTTCGCTCATGACGACTACGACGACGACGACGACGACGTTCGCTTATTTCTCTCCCTCCGCCTCTCTCTCTTTGCCAGCCCGTCTTTCTTTATTTATTTACCGTAATTTCTACTCGTTCACTTTTTTTTCCACTCGTCTTTGGCTGCTCGGGCTTTCTTGGCTTTCGTTGCTTTCGGGCTCTTGGCTCTTTGGTATTTCTTGTTCACGTTTCTTGACTTTGGCTGCGGTTGATTTCTGGTTTTTGTGTGCCTGGCTGCACTGCGTCTTCGTCCAAGAAGTCGCACAAGCAGCGCCTTGCCTGCTACCTTGCCTGGGCCTTCGATTTGCAGATGTGGAGAGAAAATTGTCTAAAGTCGAAGCCGGATCTACGATCCCCAAGCAACACCGAAAGGCGGCACTGCTTTGATTTGATTTCATTTGATTTGATTTTCCCTGCTGCCCACCGACAAAACTATCAACATTTTTGGTCATTTCAGATTCTATAGACAGAGCTAAAGAATGCTGGCCAGAGATGCCAGCGGTTGGGTACTTTCTAATTTTTTTTGGAGAGATATGCCCTGCCCCTGGCCCTGCCCCTGTACCTGGGTCATCGCGGAGGGGGATCAGACTTGATGATTCGTCACCAGCCTGTGGGTCTGTCTGGTTTATGTCAAGGCAAGGGCCTTAGATTTAGATTGGCATCAATCTTGCGGCTGGTTGAGCAATTCCCAAGCCCCCATTCGATTCGTTTAACAGTCTTATAACCTAGCCCAACCCCAAAAAGAGCGATGCGATCGTTAACAAACAAACGAGAAACAAAACAAAAAATTCAGCAAGAAAACGAAAAAAAAAAAAGCATAACAAGCCAAAACCAAAAAAAAAAATATTCGCAGGCAAAGCCAAAAGCAGGCAAACAACGCTTTGGCTTGCCAAACAACCTCAACCTTCTGCGTTTGCGTTTGCGCATGATCGTGACATGCTCAGGTTCCAAGATCCACGTTCCCCGTTTACCCCTTTTCGCAGCTATCCCCGCCACATAGAGCAGCCATAAGTGGAAGCGTGGTGTGGGCCAGGGGGAACGTGGCAGCGCTCACGAAAAGTTTCACTTTCTTTGCAACAAGTTTTGTGCGTCTGCGCAGCGTTCGTACACCCATACACATGCTCATGCTTCATGCTCACAGGCTCACATGTGTGCGTGAGTGAGTGAACGAGTCGAGTCGAGTCGAGTCGTAGAGTGGTTGGGCTGCCTTCTCTTCTCGCTTCTTTCGGTTTCTACTTTCCGTTTGCGCCCTTTTATGTAACCCAAATCCTCGACAGCAGCAGCACCAGCAGCAGCACCAGCAGCAGCAGCTCTTGCTATGCGATGCTGTATGGTAGCCCCAACGCTTTGCTTTGCTTTGCTTTGCTTTGCTTTGCTTCTTTTGCAGACAACAACCCAATGGGTCTGTCTTGTCTCTTGGCTCTAGAGCAGCAGAAGAAACAACGTTTACCGTTAGTTTCTCTTTTGGCCTATATTTGGACGAAGCCACACAGTCACCGTCACCGTCACCAGTGCCGTCACTGCCGCAGTCGACGTAGCAGTCAACGTTGAATGCTTCTTGAGGCGCTGTTGTTGTTGTTCTTGTTGTCTGCTTGCATGCTGATGAGATTCTTTATCTGTCTCTCTCTCTCTCTCTCTCTTCCTCTCTCTTTCCATCTCCATTTCTATGTTACAGTGTCTGTTGTGTGTGCTCTGTGTCCACTTCCGTTTTGGAGGAGCAGAGCAGAGCAGAGCACTTTCGTGGCTCGAGAACCGGTTCGGTTCTACTTTAAAGCGACGGAACTGCATGCCCCCAACGCACACACCACACACACACACACACACACACACACACACATGGACACACCTGGATATGCTACGCTTTTTTTTGGGTATCTTCATGATTGCATCGCCCACATATTTATTCGTAGAAGAAAGGTTGCTGCGCAGAGGCTTCTACACTTTTTCTTGGGATCTTCAAACATAATTCTGCAACTCTTTTTTTTTTGTGTTATGTTGGAGGAGAGGACTATGACTACTTAGAATGTCTGATGGCTTATTGCTGCTGCTGCTGCTTGGGTTGGTTGGTTGTTTATTTTGTTATTGGCTGTGGATAGTTGGTAAGCTTCTTTGGGGCCCGGTTTCCATTGTGCTGGCACTCTGTTGCGGTTTGTTTCGTTTCGCTTGCTTTCTTTTTGCCACGCTTATTTGGCTTCTTGCACTTTTCTTTTTCTTTCACTCAGGCACAGACACAGGCTGAGGCACAGTCTGAGGCACGGACTGAGACTGGGCCCGTAGAAACGACAAAACTGTGAAGGCGATACGATAGAAAAGTTTTCTTCTCTTCTTGCTTAATTCTTTGTTTGTTTGATTAAACGTGGAATGGAATTGTTAACCGTGACTTTTCGGTTTTTTTTTCTTCTTTTCTTTTCTTCTTTTTCTTTTGGTCTTTTGCATCTCTCTTCTTTGCGTGAGAATTTCTAATTGGGTCAGGATTTGTGTGGGTTTCTTCTTGGTTCTTCTTGGCTCTTTCTCTCTCTCTCTGTGTACAGCTGCCTGCATGCCGCCACACAGCGTTGCAGGCTGGAAATTAATGAAGCATTTGACGTGCCCTACTCTCGATCAGCGGGTACTGAAAGTGATTGTGGGGTGGGGGGAGCACAAGAAGCTGTGTAGAATGTAACTGGGGCTTGCTTTAATGGAATTGTATTCGACTTTAGATTGGGATTGAGATATGGGCTAATCGTGCGACATTGATGGATGGCAGACAGTTCTCGTTCACGTTCTGTTCTCCATTTACCTTTGAAAATTCACCCTGAACTACATCTGAATCTGCCCGAAATGAATCCCATCCAAAAACGAATGCAAGAAATCCTCTGGGTATGTGTATGAGGTATGTTGGGAGGGGGGATGGGGGTATGCCCCAACCTGAGCTTTAATATGGTAACCAGATCTTCACGCCGAATCCAAAGAAATTGCAGCCGAGCATGAGGCGAGCGGCTTTCCCAGCTCAGTTTTCTTTTACTGCTGCTGCTGCTGCATTTCCTTTCGGTTCGGTGTTTTCTCCAGCAACAGCAGCAGCAGCAGCAGCATTGAAAATGCGCATACGCCCCATATGCCAGCACCAGCCACAGCCACAGCTACAGCTCGCAGTTCCCAGCTCTCAGCTGCACTTACCATGCAAGTCATCGACCAGGCACAGGCACAGGCAGGCAAGCCAACGGCAACGCCAACCAGCCGGAGTACCATTTAATTCTTGGCTTTTACTTTCTCCCAAATGATGCACAAATGAGTCTGGAGTCGAAGCAAAGCAAAGCGAAACGGCAAAAGAAAATAAATACTCGTATCGCACCGCACCCGTCTTGTTTGTTATGATTTTTTCCAAAGAAAACAATCTAGAAGAAAGTCAGAGCGGAGCCGAGAGCAGAGCCAAAAACCCCACAAAAGACAAAAGTCAAAAGTTGCTAATAGGCTTGGAAAATCGGTGGAAAAACGCTGCCAACGCTGAAAAATAGATGATATAAAACCGAACGAAAACTGTGCAGCGATGGAGCATTGGAGCGGAGTAACTTGTTGTTGGGGAATTTTTCTTTTAGCCAGGCGGACTTTTCTCTTTGTGTTGGCTGCTGCTTTTCCATTGCTGTTGCTGCTGTTGCTGCTGTTGCTGTTGCAGTTGAATGTACGCTAACCGACTGTGGAAATTCCGTACCGTACCACATATAATCATGACCAGCAACGTCATGATCATCATAACGAGCATCATCATGGCTGGCAATCATCGTCATTATCATGGACATCATGGACATCGTCAGAAGTAATTTAGGAGAAATATTTCTTTTTTTTTTTTGTGTGCATTTTGCTGCTGCCAGCTTTCTGCTTGCTGCTTTTCCGCTGCTTATGGCTTTGGGAAAATTTTTCGTTGAACTTTTCATGCATGCAGGCGTCGCGAGTCGAGTCTTTTGGGGGGGTAGGGTAGCAGTACCCCCTCCTGCCCACCAAAAATTATGTGCCCGCTGTTATTGTGATAATCTCATTGTTTGCGAGAAGGTTTTTTGAACTTTTGCGCACAGATTTTCCTTTCTTTCCCCCTCCACGCTCCACTCTCCACTCTCTTGTTTGTCATGCACTTGGTGCTGCATGCTGCATATTTTCTACAAAGTCTCTGACTTTTTCGAAAGTGCAATACTGAGGC